TGCTAACACTTGAAATGGAGGAGACATGTTTTACAATAGCAGCCTCCACCTTTGACCGCACTGACCAAACACAGAGGATAAAGGGGGTGTGAATGACGTTGTGGCTAACCTGACGTGTTGTGTGTACAATGTATGGGAATCCATAACTGATATAAGGTCATAATACGTCATGACATGGAACTGCAAAACGCAAACAGTTGATAAACAGTCTTCCCTGAGAGGAAGCAATATCTCTAAGTGAAATACACTGAGGGTCCTACAGACTTCGTCACTGGCTATAAATTGCCAAAGACAAGCAATATTCTTGAGTTCACGCTATTGTGACGCTTCTAGATTCTACCGCAGAAGAAATCTGATTACATAGAAATTTATACTGCACCTACTGTCCATGAAGAAAATAAAAGAATTTAAATTTCTTTTCAGAAATATAATGCTTTATTACATATTTACATTATATAAAAAATGCTTTATTATATATTTGTATTATATTTTTTTTTATATTTATATAGCATCCAGGAGAAGTGATACATGTGGAGGGCCAAGAAGAGAGGAAAGTATTATTATTAATAAATAATACTTTCTTGCATATTGTATGTCACAATTAGAAAAAAGGTATTGGAAAAAGTTTTGTGTTGTACGGTAATAAATTCAAGGCATCAGATCAGTATTTAAACATTTTAAATTATATCCAGCCAATCATGATATCCGTGATTACATCACACAATAGGAATTTGATCCATTCTGTCATTGCAGGGCCTAACAATACATTAATAATGGAAACTCATATTGTGGTAATGCTAAATACACAGTTTATCAGCCAGGGTGAACCTCAGCAAAAAAAGGTTTATTTGATTATAAGTACTGGCCACAACAGATGCTGACTATTGGTTATCAATACTGGCGTAGAAATTCCATATCAGAGTATCGTTCACTGCTCCATGAGCAGTTTAGGCATCATGGTGTACATTCATCAATCAGATATGACATTAAAACTACCTCTGTGGCGGTCCTGTGGGGATCCTGTACATTGAACAACAGGGTAAAAGGGGGCTAACAAAGTATGAAGAGAAACAAATGGACTAAAGCCTGGAATTGTAGAACTACAAAGCCCACCTAGATGGTAAGTGGAGCTCATAAAATGGACAATGAGCGTAGAAACAAGTAGGTGGTTTTAATGTTATGGCTGATAGGCACAAATGTTATTAATATATGAGAGCATTGTGTAAAGTTGTTGTAAAGCTGTCTTGCTTGAGGTGCTTAAAAAAACAGTAGAAAAGCACACATGCATTTTAAAGCTTATACTCTGGCCTCAACTGAGGGGGAAGCAGGGGAAGGGGGGTGTTAGAGAGGTGAGTCTGGCTGCTTAAATCCGTGAATAAAAGCAATTAAGTGGTGAAGAATTCATGAGGACACACTGCTCACTGATTAATGATGGCCTTCATCAGAAATTCCATAAATAAGTCCAATAAAATGTAATGACCTGAAATCACAGGGCAGAGTTATGATATCTGGCCCAGGGGGCAGTGGAGCACAGGGAACAGGGAGGTCTATACTGCTGCATTTCAGAGAATGACACAAGGCCCTGGAATGGCCACAGCAGCCAACGGTACAAATGCTTCTCACAGACGTGCACCAGCAGATAGAAAAAGCTGATAACATCTTCCAGACACAGGGAGACACCGTGTCCTTCCTGTGTCACTCGAACGGCAGGCATGACTCCCAAGATCAGCTCTTGGCACCTACGTTAACAGTGTGAGAAGAGATGACGCTCCTCTCCTTTCATGGCATGGCAAGTCCAAAGGTGACAAGGAGCTTACCATAGGCCATTAGGATGACATTCCACATTACGTCCACCCCCTGCCTGTGGTAACCTGCGGTGCAGGAAGCTGTGAAAAGGCCTGCAGCACCACACTAAATGAGGAGTGGAGCGGAGTACAGTGGAGTGAGGAGACATTCACCAACAGTGTGGGTTCTTTCATGCTACACCATCAGAGAATTACTTTGTTAGGGGTGGACGACATACACTACATGGACAAAAGTATTGGGACACCTACATATTACATATTACTCGTCTATCAGACTGCCAGATAGAGTAGCGTGATTCGTCACTCCACAGAATACGTTTCCACTGCTTGTGGCGGTGTACTTTACACCACTCCTGTCTCAATGCTTGGCATTGTGTATTTTGATCTTAGGCTTGTGTGTAGCCGCTCGGCCACAGATCCCATTTGGTGAAGCTCTTAATGCGCAGTTATTTCGCTGATGTTGCTTCCAGAGGCAATCTGGAACTCTTTAGTGAGTTATTCAACAGAAATTAGGCACTGCACTTCAGCACTCAGTGGCCCCACTCTGTGAGTTTGTGTGGTCTAGTGCTTTGTAGCTAAGCTGTTGTTGGTCATAGATGTTTCCATTTTATAATAATAGCCTTACAGTTGACAGGGGCAGATCTAACAGAACAGAAATTTCACAAACTGACTTGTGGCAGAGGTGGCATCCTTTGACAGTGCCATGTTTAAAATCACTGAGCTGATGAGTACAACCCATTCCCCCAGGACCACCACAGAGCAGGTATTACGCAGGAAGGGGATCATTCTCAGCACTGCAGTGACACTGATGTGGTGGTGGCATGTTAGTGTGTGTTGCGCTGGTACAAGTGGATCAGAGAGAGCAGTGCTGCTGGAGTTGCCGGGATACCAGTATTACAAGTATTCATGTGATTCAACAAAAGTAAATCACTTTTGTCAAAATAATACTGACCAATCTTTAATTAATCACATTATTGATCCACCAATGCACTTTTAATATATAACAGAACTTACCAGAATCATATTATTTAGCACTACAATCACGGCAAACGTATTTTGTCTGTATGCAGAGTATTTTACAAATATTCAGAAACACACCCAAACACAGGACACACCATAACCATATAGACAAACAAGACAGACAACATTCAGACAACATTCCACTGTGCCTTCTACAGGAAAATATCAGCCTTAGTTTGCATTTTCCATTCAAACTAGGCAGATTTGCAGTTTGCGCATGGCAACACACATCATGCTCTGGACTATTCAAAACCAGTCAGATCTCATTCAGCAGTGCTAGAGATCTTTCCAATCAGAGGATTTCGTGCCAGCATTCACCAAAATCCACACCAGACATCAGCAGGCAGTGAGCGGCGGTCAGGCAGACGGGTTGCCAGATGCTCTCTGCGGGATCCCCCCCACACACTACAGGCCACTGCTGAGCTGCTGCTGTCACCCCACTAACTCTGCTAATGCTATCTGACAGCAGTGCAGGCTCGTACACATGCAAGGTTTCCTCTTTTACTCTCAGCTGCAAAAGGCCACAGAGAGGCAGCAGAAAGGCTGAGGCTGAGGGCAGAACGACTGCAAGATGGTTGGATGTTAGAGTCTAAACTCAGACTGAATGATTGTGGTGGCCATTTGTCTTTTGCTTCTGTCTTAAAAGGTCTGGCCCTATGCCAGATGGTAGAAAGATGTCAAGAGGACACGGGGAAAGTGTGGTACTGACTCACCAACTGCTGTGTGTTATCTGATAGACTGGGTTTGTCCACAAGACTGTTATAGTAGCTAATGTTGTAATGCTTAGGTTTGATTATAAAATCTTCACAGATCTTCTCGTAAGGTCAGTATAGTTTCTTTTATTCAACCAATTTCAATGCTATGATTTTGATCAACCTCGAAAAAACAGGCACCATATTCCTAACTATTATAAAGAGACTGATATTCAAGCTGCATTCCCATTTTTTGTGCTTTTTTTATTCCCCATGGGAATATTGTCTTACAATGCTAGAGAAAGACTTTGTCACTTAATTTTTAATTTCTCACAGTTTAAACAGCAGTCGGATGTCTCACAGAAAGTTTCACATGATTTAGCTAATTACGTTGCTTTTTTTTCAACCTGTTTTTCACTTAAAGCAGGCTATGTTTCAGTAAATGGTGAATCCAGGGTGTCACAATACAGATTAAAATACATTTGGAAAAGGCAACTGGGAAGTACATCTGAAAACAGAAATGATAATTGGGAAATGTGTCTGGTTATTGGAGGCAATTGGGAAATATATTTGGAAATGGGGAAAAAAGGCGACTGGGAAATATACTTGGAAATGGATAAAACAAACTGGAAAATACACTTGGAAATGGGAAAAGTGATTTGGAAATACAACTGGAAATGGAAGAGGAAACTGTGAAATACAACTGGCAATGGAAATTCAGCCATATAACTAGAAAAAACAGTTTTGATATATATTTGGAAATGGAAAAAGCATTCAGGATATAGAATTGGAAATAGAAAAGGCAATTGGGAAATTCAACTGGAAATGGAAAAGGAAAGTTGGAAATACAACTAGAAATGGAAAGGACATTTTTGAAATAAATTTGGAATTTAAAACAGCAATGAGGAAATACAGTTGGAAAATACACCTTAACATGGAAAAGACAATTGTGAATTCCATACATTCCTTTCCATTTCCAGCTGCATTTACAAATTTACTGTGTCAGCCTGGATCCTCCATATTGGTTTTCTTCATTCCTGTGCTAATAAGTTTTAAAAAAATAAATAATTAAGTGTATTACCCTTAATTTAACAGAAGTGGGTTTAGATGGACTGGATAGAAAGGAATATACTGAAGCTTCAATTTAACAACTGCTGCAGGAATTTTCTTTAGGATATTCATCTTTCACTCAGCCCTGCACAGGCTGCATCTGGAGCAACCAAGAGAGTAATAATAAACAATACAATTTGCTTGAGCTTTACTGAATCGACTGAACTATTTCATTACTTAGGCCTTGTTAAGACAGATGGAGCCCCTCTAAATTTCTGAATATGATGAGGCAAGTCCATTTACGGGACGAACCCTTCTGACCTTTAACTCCAAAAGGTCCAGAAGGTCAGATTTAAAGAAATAAGAATGATCAATAACCAATGTTGTTCTGCTGGGGAGCCTTTAACAGTGCTTTCTAGAGGTTGAAACTCACCACGTGGTTCCTAGTACGATGGTAGGGCTGGACGATGGGCAGTCCAAGTGGGGTCACCCACTCCACGGTGCTGCCGGACTTAGCGATTAGCCTTGCGCTCTCCGTTAGCCAGTCCTGCAACACACAGGCACAAACACATTCCTAACTTCAGCAAGAAACATGAAGTCTAAGCTGATCCAAACAAAGTTCTAACTGTGGCCAGAAAAAAATGATAAAACAGGTGGCTATTTGTTGCAGAGCCTCTGTGTTTAGTGAACCTGCTGATTCGAAGCAACAGTGCTGGCTTCCCGGCATGTCTGCTGCAGATGCGCCGAGTCAGAGCCATTTTCTCTCCCTAAAGGCTTTCCTCCTGAGCGCTAGGGTGGGAGATAAATATCTTCGTTCTCTCTGCATAAGCAGCCCAGGCCCCATGCAGGTCCATCCGTCAGATGGCTCCCCCTGCACTTCCCCTCCCTCCTGCCCCACTTACCTTCCCTCAGGTCCTTTTGCTTCTCTACAGCTGTAGCCAGGTGTGGGAGATTAGAGGGAAGATGAAGTACCTTCCCCACCCCTCACTACTTCTTCCACCTTTTTTCTTCTCTGTTTTTTGGGTATGACCCATTTAGGCTGATAGGCGTATCTGAATGTGAGGTGGGGGGGAGGTTTCAGAGCGTCTGAGCCTGTCTGGGTCTCTCCCATAGGACTGTAGCGGGTTCCAGAAACATCCATTTTCCCCTCTCACACTGTTGCTTGGGATTCACTATGAGCTGCAGGCAGGTGCAAAGCCAGTGCTGATACTTTAGGAACCTATACAAGCACAGCATAAAATAGTGGGGAATCTTGTGTCCCCTCAGCTATGTGCTCCAATTTGTCCTGCAAGGCTGCCAACCATCTGAACTGTATTCTTGGAAATGATGTCTTTCTTAGCCAAGCAAGATATTTAGACCTTTTAGTCAACATAGTCTAAAGTAAGCCTATCAGATATATACTGTAAACACAACTATTTTGGTTTTAAACATTTTGTAACATTTTACGGAAGGTCAGCATTCATAAGGCTACATGACACCTACATAAGTCATTGATGGCAACTAACATAAACCTACACAACCTTTAATAAAGACTTATTCCAACAAGTGTCAGCTTTCATAAAGGTTGCTTTGGCCATTTCGATGTCACTTCATCTCAGTGGTATGACAACTGATGCTTCACTATGGTTATGTAGGTTTATGTCAGTTGTCATGAAAACTTTATGGAGGCGTGTTGTGGACATTTGAATGCTGCCCTTCTGTAAAGTCTTACCAAAATGTTATTTTCTGTAACAGTATTTAAATATGTCGTTGTGTTTAGTTGAGCTATTACAAACAAATGTAGCTATGTGGAACCGTTTTTGGTTTGCTTTACTATAATAACAGTTATTATTTTGATTACCATCATAGTTGTTAGCAATTTGTTTTTTATTATTATTTAAAAATTATTTTGACTACAGAAATCTAATCATTAGTCATAGTTTGTTCAATAACTAATTATTCAATTAAACTATACAACCTGCATACAATTATGAATGCAACAATTCATTATTATTATTATAAATACATACTTAGTAATGGTCTACATCCAGTTTTAACTCAAGTGTAAACGCTTTTCATAAATGTATTATCTTTAAAAGTAGTAAATGACGCAAGTAGAATAAATTAGAGTTCAGTTACAACTTTATAATAGGGGTCCTTATTTGACTTTGACTTATGAGTCTTAAAAATCTAAACAATTATTTTAAAAATTCATTTTGTCCCCTCTCCTAATTAATCCTGCTTCCAGACTCAAACCTATAAAATCATAGAAACAAACTCATTCAGTAGAGGAAAAAAGAAGCTGCAGATGTTCAAGTTATGCAACACACTGTAATGTACCTGGATCTCTCTCGTGCCTGTGAACATTTCCTTCAAGCTACTGAAGACCTGATGCACCAAGTAGTGAGAGGCGTCCCATATATGTTCCTGCAGTCAGAAAATAGCAGCATTAGTTGTACAAACAACAGCACTGGGGGCAAGAACATTTTGGCAAAATGTAGTAGAATATGGCAAAAGCTAGTGAAGACATGTTTGGTGTCTGAAGTTTTGTGTCACCTAACTTCATTCCTAAATGATCACACAGTTCTCTAAAGCCCTAGTTGTCTAAAATCTAATTGTTAAGTAATCTCAAATAGACTTATGTGGGTTCTGACATTTTATGGCATACTGTCATCTGTAAGGATAGCAAACAAACATCACATAGCTAAAAACAGCAGCAGCAATCACACAAAGGCTGAATTTTATTTGTACATTTGTCCTTTTTTATAGCTAACACTATATTAGCATAGGAGCTCCTGTATTTAACTAAAGACGCATGTTTGGTGCCAGAAGTGCATCTCCAGCTTTGAGCTAAAGCTGTAAGGATAATGTAGCAAATAAGAGAAACTTATGTCCCACCAATAAGCATCACGCAAAATGCATGACACTGTTTGACATACTGGCATTTTTTATTTTGCTTTTAAAGAATACAAACCAGGGGAATTTGCAGGTACCTTGTAGGGGGGGCACGGCCTTATTTGGGGTGGATTTTTTGAAATCCAGCATTAAAAGTTTAAAAAGTTGGTCCCAGATGAAAAGTCTCAATACGAGATCATGGCCCAATCCCATTTCACCCCTTGCCCTTACTTCTTAGCCCTTAGCCCTCTGTTTTGCTTGTTCACGCCTAGGAGTAGGGTGTCCCGATTTTTGTTGGGATAGAGAAGTAGGGCAAAGTGTTAGGGTTACATGTGTTATGAGGTGAAAACACAGCAAGATGGCTGTGCAAGCGACAAAAGAAACCCACAAATGTATTTTCTCCATTAAAATATTACAATAACTACTGTATTGTCTTACTTTAATGTCGTTTCAATGTATTATGGTCCCTTTCTTCATAACAAGCAAAAAAATTTGCTAATAGTATGTTGATGTCTCGGTAGCTAGCTATCTAAATTTCCCATTCCGTCTTAAACAGTCCAGCAGTATTGACACCTGAAGCGGCAGAATGTAACTGCTGGAACAAGAAAATTCGAACAAGAAGCTGGTGAATTGCTGACTTCAGCTTTGTATCACTGAAGAATTAGGGGTGGGCGATAATAAGTAACTGTCGCATCCCCCCTCTTTGATGCCCTAAATGTAACTAAAGCCCAGCAGTGAGGTTGCTGAACTTTACCCTCCTCTGCTATCAATGCAGACTGGCAGGGTCGCCTACAGAGCAGTGCTAATAGCCTGTTAATGAAGTAATGCTCTTTTTTATTTGAGGGTCCCATTTCATAGGGGAAGATTTCAACCACTACCCCTTGGGACTCAGTTTCAAGGGGCAAAGTGACACTCGAAAACAAGGGGTAGGGGTAAAAATAAGAAATGGGACTAGTGAAGTAGAAGCTTTATTAGTCTCAAACTGTATTAGTCTGAAACTTTGGACACCATCATGTCTTGGCTGGTCCACTGCATTCAGAGCAGAGGAATATGATTTTTTGGTCAAACTATGGCTTTAAAGCCGAAGAGTGCTGGGATTTGGAGTACGGATTCAGGTGGCCTATTCTTTTGCTCTGAGGCCTCAGGTAATCTCTGCTACCTCAGGGGAGATATTAGCACTGAGTGGACCCAATGGTCTCCAGCTGCTGCCGACAACCCACAAAGCTGCTGAACCAGCAGAGTGGCTCCGTCACACACACACACAGTTATAATCGCACTCTATAATCACACACACACATAGACACACCTTCCTCGCTGACTCTCTAAAGGTGATAATTACATGCTACTTCACTGCTGATCTAGAGTCACTTGTTTGTTTGTCCACACAAGAATACAGTGGGGAAAACGGGTCTGAGGCACAGATTAATTAATTTTAAAAATTCTCTCTCTCTCTCCTGCACAAACAAACAAACGCCTCGTCTCACAACACCTGCCAAGAGCACCAAATTAAAGAGGGCAGGTGGAAAAACAACAAAACCTTCCAACAGTCAAGATACAGACATTTTGAAGACTAGAAAGATAAAAGAAAAACCGTGATTAAACGGAGTTAACGGCAACAGAAAGTCAAATAAAGCTTTGTGTGGTTCAAGCATGATGAAGTCAAAAAGTGTCAGTCAAAATAATGACTGTGAAGATGTCAGCAGTGCCTATATGAATTATCTTTGGCTATGAAAACATTTTTTTTGTTTTATCAGCTTGAGTACAGCATAGCAGTAATGTACTCTTTCACGGTCGTATGCAAAATTTTAACCCCGCCTACCTGATTAAACTACATGTTCTGTTAATGTTCTAAGTGAAAATAAGTTAACACATCTTCTACAGGGAACAAACTTAAACATGTGCATACTGTAAAATTTTTATTTATCTGCTGAGTTTAACACATAAAAAAAAAAAACTAAAATAAAAAGTGCACCATAACTTTTGCAGAGGCCACATTTAATGTTTATTTTTTTAATATGCTAAAATTAAGTGTGTTCTTCAGAGGATGCGAATTTACTTATTTTCACTTAGAAAAACAACAAAACCTGTAATTTGACCAAGGATGTCCAAACTTTTTCACACAACTGTATCTAAAACCATTTCACCACAGAAAATCTTTCAAGATGCTTCAGAGTTTTCAGTCTATGCTTGTGGATGCTCTCCTACAGTTTACCTCAAAGTTTCCAGTGATATTTAGGTCTGGAAACGTATGTGTGGTTTGGAGGCCTGCTTTGCTCTGTTTGAAGAACCATTCAGCTCCCAGCCCAATGTTTTTGTCTAAAATCATCTTGTATTTGTTGGAATCCATGATGCTATTTATCCTAACAAGATATCCTCAAGATCACTGTTCCACCACCATACTTCACCACTGGGATTAGATTTTTATTTTTCTCGCCAATTACCTGAACTCTTTTTACATCAAACACTGTTGCCAAAAGCCATGTTTTTGTCTCATCTGACCACAGAATAAGATTCTAGTGAAGCTTTGTGAACTCTAGGCGCTTATATTTATGGCCTGACGATATCAAAATCTCTTTGCAAGCCTTCCAAAATCTCGTTGTCATGGAAGCAATGTCAAAATGCAGTTTTTGAGGCCAAAGACATAACAAACTTCGCCAACTGTCCAAATCGATTTTTAGAGATTTTTTTTATCTCTCAAACCACTCTCCTCTCTGTTGCATAAAAGCAAAACACACTTCCATCTCTTTCAAACAGGTTCGTCTCCGCTCCAGCTGTTTATAGTGGGGACGGGTGAAGTTTTTTATAGCCACTGCCTGATTTATGATGGTCTGCAACCTTTTGTCTCATTTCATTTGTGTATTCTCTGACCTTCATCGTGTTGATGGATGACAAAGAGTGTTTGCTCTGCGCATCCCGCTGTATATATGCACCGACAGCTCTCAAGAGCTTTTAAAAGGTAACATACAGTATTATGCAAAAGGCAAAGACTACCATTTATTTATTTAATTTCCAGTCAAAATGGCCATTAAGTGTTTAGAAAAAGGCAGAAAACATATTTAACAAAAAAAAAATACACAAAAGCCTCAACAACTTCATATAATATCAAGTTCTCAGTGTTCAGCATATCAGTTCTTTACTACAGCTTCCATTCTTGCCTTCAGTTTTTCAAAGAAATCCACAGGAATATTTCTGCACACCTTCAAAGTTCAGTCTTGGAAATGTGGCTACATTTTTTGCTCCTCATGATCCAAGTAAACCCAAACACATTCAATAATGCTGATTTCTGGACTCCAGGGTGGTCAGTCCATTGTTCTGAGAACACCAGTAGCTTCTTTGACTTCCAAATGTTCTTCTTATTTATCTTCTTTTCCCAGTAACTGCATCTTGACAGCTACACATCCTTTCAGACTCAAAGTGCTGAGTTGTCTTCTCACAGTGGCAAGACTGACAGAAATACCTGTGAATGTTTTCAGATCTGAAGCAAAGGTACTTTTTAACTTGATTTTCTCCTCTCTCTCAAAGATGAAGGCAGTACTTCAAGTACTTACGTTTATCTGATGAGGACAGTTTTGGTGTCAACCAGGTTTTGCACGGTTGTTAGGGGTCCCATTTTCTCTGTAGCTTTTAATCATTTTTTGAACTCCAGTTTTGCAAATGTTTTTTTTTCATTTATTTTCCTTTGACTTTCCCCTTCCTTATGCAAATGGATTATCTTATATCTAATCCCCTCAGAAATATCTACTGAAAAATGAACAACTTGTACTTAATGGTCGTTTTGACTGGATATTTAATAAATGATGGTTTTTGCAGAGTACTATAGATGGTACTATAGTTCAATTAGGTTTTGTTCATATGAATTTCATTGCACAGCAATAAATTTTATTTAATTTATTTTTTATAAGCTTCTCTTCAATGTGCATTTACCAACTACATTTACACCACCACGACAGGTTTACTAACACTGCCTGTCAAAAGTTCTACTTTTGTTTTTTTGTTCTGAATAACTCTCTTAACTGCTACTTTTTCAATTAAGTAGGAAACAATATCTGCAAAGACAAGAAGTACATGCCTATCTACTAAACTAGGCGTCTCAAAAAGTTTGACGGTCACTTTCTGTACAAGCTAAGCTCTTGGTCAAATGCTACTTGTCCAGTTCACCACTTCTGACAGACGTCCAATGCTTCACCAGCCCTTACCCTGGGGAAGTCATCGATCTCCTTGAGGCGCTTTTCGATCTGCAGCCTTCCACCATAGCGTGTGACGCCATACACCACCGTCATTACCGTCTGCTTCACCACCTTCCTGCTGATGAAGCCCTCCAGCACCTGCGCGATCTTCAGGCCCTTGGCTGCATCCCTTGCCCGGAACTCCTCCACCTGTACAAAACATGAGCCTCCATGCTCAGCAGGGGAATCAACTCGAGCAACATCTTAACGTGAAGCAGCCACTTTCTGATAGAGAATCAATTATAGAACATCTCTCCTCCTTTTTATGCTCCAGAGGCAGTGCTCTCATCCTCAGTAGGAATCGATGGCATGAATATGCCGTGAGAGCACTTCAGAGAACTTCATCAAGAGATAAACAAGCTAACTGACCCTGGGCCAACCATAAAACAGCCAGCTCTAGTGGAGTGGACAGGAAAGAGGAGTCGTTAATCATGCAAAAGCACTAAAAACAGCAGTGAATCTGCAAAATCACGCCTTCCTAAATACCACAATTTCAAAAAGGCTGGGATAGTATGTGAAACGCAAATACAAACAAAAAGCAGTGATTTGTTAAACCAATTTGACCTGTATTTAAATGAAAACAGTACAAAGACCATTAATTTAATGTTTTACTTTATCAACTTCATTGTTTTTTTGTACACATAGGTTCATTATGAAATTGATGCCTGCAGCAGTTGGGAAAGGCATATTTAAGACTAGGAACATTGTTAAATGTTCAATAAGCATCTTAAACAGGTGATGCTATCAGGCTTGGATATAAAAGGAGCATCCAGAAAATGTGCTGTATTTTATGAGCAAGGATGGGTCAAAGCTCACCAAAATCTATCAGCAAATAATCCAAGAGTTTATGAACAGCGCTCTCAATGAGCAAGTCAATGTGTGAAATTGTTTACAGAAACAATGGACATCATGTTCTTCAAGCCAAAGAAGAATAGGACAATCCAGATTGTTACCAGTGTAAAGTTCAAAAGCCAGAGTCTTTCATGGTTTGGAGATGTATTAGTGCTCATGGCATGTTAAGGCACCATTAACATTGAAATATTATACACATTTTGGAGCTACATATGCTGCCTTCTAGAAATGTTTTTGGGAACATCCATGCTTTTTTCAACAAGACAACGCCAAGCCACATTCTGCACGTGCTATGGCTGTGTAATCAAAGAGTGCTGGTGCTAGACTGGCCTGTCTGCAGCCCAGACCTGTCTCCCATTGAAAACCTGAGATGCATCATGCAGCGCAAAATATAGACAACAAAGGCAGTTGTATGGCCAGGGTTGGGTATTTTATTTTTACTGGCAGAACTGAGATCTGTGCTGTTTTCCTGAAGATAATCTGGATCAGGTGTTTACCCTTTTTTCCACACCACCAGTTTCTGATCAGACTTTATTCTTGTTTGTTGCTTCATAAAATTCTAGTTTGACTGATTATAAATCAAAATTCTGAAAACTTTATCCTGACAGGTTTTTAACTAACAGTCTGAAACGCAAACAGAGAGCGAATTAAGTCTCCCGAGCGGCAAAAGTTAGTTTCGTTTTCGCTTGTATCATTTGTTTCTTCAGTAGTTTAGAATGATGTATGCAAAATGTTAATTTACAAAATGTGTAAATGATCATAATTTGTAACTAAGACGATCAGCTCCCACTTAATGCTTATTTTAATGTCTATTTGAACTTGTAGGATTTTTGTGGACTGAAGCCACTAAGAGCTGATTAGGGAGTGTCAGAAAACGGCATGAAAAACATCAAAGTCAGATCACGACTCACCAACATGAAACTTTATGAGTCAGTACAGCCTTTTAGATGATTGAACACGCATGATAACCAGTCAGAGTTTTTAGAATGGCCTCTATTTGTGTTTTTTTTATGCAGAGGAAGCATCTCAAAAGAAGATCTCTACCAGATTGATCTTCCGACTTTGGCATGAAAAACAATTCTACATCGATTGCTTGTTCCCCTGCGTTTTAGTCTCAGAGCTTTTAGTTTGTGTGCCAATGTTTTTATTTTTTTTCTTAATTTTCAACTCAAACATATTATACTGTTACACAAATTTGTAATCTGTCATCGTTATATTGTAAATATTTTCATATATTAAGTTTGGCTGCTGTGCTAAATGTGAGATCAGTGAGTGTTTCTGTGTGGCACAGTACTTAGTCATCTATATATCATTCTATTTCATAACACAGCACAGTTTTTGTGTTTGATGTGTTGTTAAATTCTTGTTAAAGGTCTTACTGAAATAATTTTCCCTTTTCTTTATTTAATTAAACACCTTTGATTAAAAGACAAGTAATCCAAAATTAACACAAAGTAATCAGATAACATTACTTTAACACAGTAATCCTCTGGATTAGGTTATAATATTACAATATTGTGTTTTTGTTCTGTTTTCAATTTATTACAGGTTAAAGATTTAAATTACTGTTACAGAATTACAGAGAAACTACAGAAATGCTAATCACTGCTTTCTGTTTTTATTAGCATTTCACATACGGTCCCGACTTTTTTGGAGCTGACGTAGCAGATCTGCTGCCAAAATCCCCAAAATTCCAGACAAAATGAGTTCGCATTTAGTCTAAACTCTTACTCAGCACTTTTCCCATAAGACTCAGACCTCACAAAAAAGTTTGCAATGTTCTCTGCTCGTACAGCGAGAGCAACTTGATGTTTCTGGCAAGAACAGGACGAGGTTTTATTTAGGATCTGCACACTTTTAGTGCTCCCTGCAGAAGTGAAATCGATAGGCGAGCCATTTAAACTATGCAGCCTTCTCTGAACAGGAGGCTTCAGCTTAGTGTCTCACTCTTGCTCTGACTTCTTAGGTGGGGATGAACCTTAAGTCTCTGTATCTCTCGCTCTCATTAAAAGTGATGGCTGAATGAGGCTGCAAAGCTGCAAAAGGGGTCGGATACCCTACGGGCCTTATCTTCGGCCTGAGTTGAGCCTTGACGTAAGTGGACGCGCTGATGGTCCCAGGGGGCAAAACGCAACTCTGGTGCCCCCTGATGGCCTGTGCTCACTGACCTGCTGGGCTACAGCGCTGTAGACGTCCTGGGGTAATTCACAGGGCATCAGGTTCACTGACGTGGCTCCAATCACATCACGGCCCAGGGCTGCATAGTGCTGCAGGCCATTGCAAGAGCCATCCTGAGTCAGAGAGAGAGAGAGATAAAAAGAATAATAAAAAGAAAAAGGAGAATGAAAATCTGATCTAATAACTGATAAACAATGACTAACCAAAGGACACACGCTATTGACTAATATCTAATTTAATAGTCAGTTTCGTTTAAATAAGCGCATCTCTGATGGCAATCAGACTGAAGAGATATACAAAGCATACAAAAACAATCAATTACACCCAAGTGTGAGTGCTGTCTTTACGCTGTGCAGCAGCTGTACTCAGTAATGGAAACCAAGGCAAGGGAGCAACACTATCAAGTTTTAATGGGGTGTCAAATACAAATTAAAGTGAGACAAAGTGTGGCTGTGAGGTGGAGACAAGGTCAGCCTTAGTGTTTTAATTGGAGAAAGCTTTCAAAAATCTTCTGCAAAAAGACCTTATTGACCTCTCTCTCTCTCTCTCTCTCCCTCTCTCTCACACATGCACAGACATAAAAGGCCAACATTCAGCACCTGATGTACAGGGAAATGGGAGATGAACTTGGTGTGGTCAGGTGATCTGGAGGCATTTGCTATTTCCATACAGCAGGCAAGAGTCTGCCAGGGCTCATCAGCATTCATCCACCACTTCCTCCCCTGAAACACAAACGCATGACAGCTCTTTCACACCGGGGAATCGAAATTGCAAGCGATATGAGAGCATATACTGCAAATTACAGGAAATCCAGGATATGGTGCATTCCTCTTTGGACTGACATGAAAATGAATGAATTCCCATCTTCACATGTAGTCTACTTCCCACAGTTACATTGGCCTAAATGCTCTATATACATTACAGAAAGGACAGGACTATATTTAGGGCTGCAACCAACAATTACTTCTAGGGACGTACCAAAATGCCACTGAAAATTTGGTAGGAAACAGCAAAAGATTAAAATGTCTACAATGAACTGTCAAAATCTTACACTTAATAAATCATTTGAATAGTAATGAAAATGATAACTATTGCTGTGTGTTCCATTTTGCTCTCCTGCACTCATCAGTACACAAGCCTTCAAACTGTGACGGTTCACTGCAGCTGCACTGTATATGGTCTTTAACATGCTTTTAATCATCAACTGATTTAATTAAATTATTTCATGAAAATCACTAATAAAACTGAGAAACTTAATGAATGGCTGTTTCTTCTCTAACTGGTAAACACTTGCGTGCTAATCGCATCCAATGTCTGAGAAACTTCAGATTAGAGTGGTTGAAACAGCAAAACTACCATATCAAGGTACTGAAAGATATTTTCATGATATGCGATATGTATCACAAGATTTTGACACAGAGACACAATGCACTAGTAGTGCCACATCTAAAAACACAATGGCTACAATAATTTTTATTCAATGTTTCAAATACTCCGCTGCACTAAATTCAATTAAACAAGACTAATTATGCTCTTTTTCCAGACACATGCAGTTGTTCAATGGTCTTTAGGTACTGATGATATCCACAATGTGCTCAGAAAAGGATATTGTTTATCACGATAACAGTAAAATATTGTCATATTGCACACTCCTACTCCAGACTGCTTCACATATTAAAAACTGGCCATTTTCTGACGTTACAGCGAAGTCGCTCTGGCATTCAGCTTTAGTTAACTTTGGGAAATCATGATGCATTATATTTTTATAATTCTGCACTATTTAATATTAAATATTATTTAGCAAGCTGTTTACAATTACAACTGAAGTATAGTCAGCATCGGGATGCTCATTCAAAGTATAAATAAAAGAGCAAATAAGCAGTAGAGTGCTTTTTAAATGGTACTGAAAAAGTCTGACACAGGATGTAAACTCTACTAATTCAAAATGTACATGCATACAGTCTATGCATAGAAACTAAGTTGCAAAAACAGCCTGTTTCAATATTAAATATTACTTAGCAAGCTGTTTATATTAAATTACACCTCTAGTTCTCTCAGTTCTCTTTCCCAACATGGGGATTATTGCCTTTGAAGCCTTGTCAGCACTGATGCTAACTTAAATAAAACAGCAAATTATATATAAAAGAACCTTTTCTTTCATTTTTCGGCTGTGCCCTGAAATTCGGTTTCAGCTACAAATTTTCGGTGCATCGCTATTTCTATCAACTATTATTCAGTTGATCTAACTACTATGCCTTTTTAGCTCCTCTCCCTCTGCTGTTGCCATCACTTAAAGTTTTAAATACTTTTACACAGCCAACGGCATTTATTCAGTCTACAACAGATCAGCTCCGCCCATTTACACGGAAGTTATGAGGAGTGTTTCAGCCTGGAACAAGGCACATTTAAGGACATAAGAAAAGAGCCCATAAAAAAAGAGCTCAATTACACTTATCAGTCTTAAAAGCGTAGTAGCAAAAACAGATGGTTTAATTCTATAAAGGAAAGTTGAAAATGTTCATGTAAAAATTAATTATGACTGTTTTTGGTACATAAACTAACAAAAATGACACTTCAGTGGCCAAAAAATGAAGAAATATGTAGGATATGAGCCCTTTAAAGTAGGCACGACAACATGTTTTCATAGTCATCATTACGGACTAATGCTTGCTGTTAATGTATTAGGATATATTATTTTAGAGAGGTCACCCACAGTGAGAGGATGGTCTGCTGAGTCAAGGATGTCCTCCATGATGCTGTTGGCATATTCCAGCCTGCCAGCCAGCGAACTGCGCTTCTTCAGACCTGTGAGGTTCACCAGGTGGATCTTCAGCCAATCCAGGCCTTTAGGACCCAGAGGCTTGCCCTCAGCGAACAGCAGGATGGCTCTTGTCACGTCACTGCCCAAGTGGTTGAAGTATGGTGGGCAGGGGTACGTGCGGCCCCTGAAGTCCATGTTGTGAGGGAACCAGAAGACCTCGTCCCTCACATGGTTGGCAATGGACAGCTTGTAGAGTGCATCCATACGCAGGCTGTGCATCTCTCCAAACTTCTTCTTGGCCTTTAACACCTCCCGCTTCATGTGGGCCTTCTCCTGAGGTGTGTAGGATGGGTCATGAGGATTAAACCGAGGGATCTCAGGGGCCTCCGACACGGGCGGCGGGACGTCCAGCTTCTCGCTGCCCTTGTCGTTGAAGATGGAGATGATGATGTCTAGGAGGGGCTTGTTGATCTTCCAGGCACAGCTGCTCAGCTGGTTGAGGGAGTCCAGCACGGCGTGGAGGTCCTCATTCCGGCACTTCTCCAGTAGGTGCTGGTGCTGGATGGCTCCCTCCACTGTGCGCATCAGCTTGGTGGGCGTCAGCAGGTAAGCACCGCTCTTTGGTGATGTCCAGGGCACGGGTGGACACAGCATGGGCATTACGTAGGAGTCAAAGGTCAGCTTGGTCTCCATGGCTTCAGACTGGATTTGCGTCAAGATTGGGTGCGGCTTGATAAAACCAATCTAGACGTGAAAAAATGAGGAGGAGAAACAGATTAAGCAAGCGCTAGTAGATGTTAAGATTTCCATTAACCTCATATAAAACCCCTATACACTATGACAAGCCAATATTAATCACTGCTGCTGCTCTGTGGGATGCATCTGTTTAGTACCATGGCTAAGCAAAACTGAATTAGCTGAAAATGAGAAATACAGTATGAAATTAATTATAAGTGACAGCCACAACAGCTACTCCATAAAGCTAAAAGGGCAGCGAATACACGGAGGGGCTCAGGGCAAGGGATCTGTTCCTACTACACATGCTAAGGTTGCACGATTCATCGCTATCACCATATGAGTTTCTGCAATGAACAGATTGTTAAGGGTTGAAATGACACAACAGGTCAAATTAGATTACACAATGATGTAATTATATGTAGGAATGTAGCATTAGGATCTTTGTCTAGCATCCCTTGAGGTGGCCTCGATCCCCAGTCTCTTGCATGTAGAGAAAGTGACTTAACCACTCTGCTATATAGCCAATTACTGTGTGTGTTCACATGTGCAGAGCTCAAAACCACTCTAACCTTAACCACCGATGATTTGGAATTTATAATGTATGTGTGTTCAGTATCATAACATATTTGCAAAGGAGTCTCCGAGCTTGCTGGGCGTTGGGGTGGTCTGAGCAAGAGGTAAAACATCATATTATATATGGTAATATTATTTTTCCCCACCCACTGGCGCACGGTGATGCAATCAAAACACCATTAACCATTATTCTCACTTCCAGAGCTGTGTGTGAAACTGTCATGGCTATTGTCATACAAATATGTATTACCGCAAAGAATGTTTTAAGTTAGATTTCTTTTTTCTTAGGTCGATATCTGTTTATACAGCAAATAATGAAAAAAAGTTACTCCCAATCAGAGGCGTACTATTTTAATCACAATTTATAACCAATATCCAGCAACTTTAGCAAACATGGACATTATGTCCATATCATGCAGCCATTATACATGCTATGATCAAAATGAGGTAAATTATCAGGTCTTACATTCAGTAAGACTTCAGTGTACAGCAGGTGTCCTGAAAATGTCTTCTTGAAATGTGATGAAGTGTTGCTCGAGTGGCAATAAAGGAAACGCTGTTTTCCAAGTTTCAGCACATTAAAAGATAAGAGTTTTTTCAGAGCTTCCAAAAGAGCCCTTATCATTTATCTTTTCATCCCGTTTTTTGATTTTTAGATGTGAAACAAGAGAAGTAAGGGTACTCCTATAAAATGCTGTCATAAGGGTTGTCAAAAATCAGCAGAGAGCACTCAAGGAAGAGCCAAAAGAAGCAGCAAATGAGATACAGCTAAAAATCTGATCTAAGTATCCAGTTATAATGATTACTTTCCATTCAGAAAAATCAACCAAACAGTGGAGAGTCTCTGATTTTTGACCTAATCACCTGAGCAGCATTAGCGTGACCTGCAACACGTCAGTGTGAAACAAGCCAAGTAAATAGCTGTTCCCTACTGCTTGGACCATCTGCAGGCCCAGCAGAGAGAGCAGGGTTCCATACCAGGCTCAAAACCCCACAGGTTTGACTGACAGGTTCAGGGCCTTATTAAGTCATACTGAGGCTCTGGGCTACCTCTAATTAATCACACCCCTAACAAAGCACCAAGTGATTTATAACAAGATTGAAATCCAAATTTCAGGAAAAAAAACACATGACTAACATTAGCGCTGACGTACATTATAATAAACAATCTAATTAACAGTTACATCAATACGTTTCCCCTTACGACACCCACTTCTGTATTTTCTGTTTGACATCATCCATGGTATGTTTGTCATGACTGTGAATGTTACGCTGATGATTACCTGCCATAAAAAATTGCAATTAACATTTCGTCTTATTTGAAAGACAATTAAATTGTTTTAACATACAAGCCTAAAGTGGCAAAATTGGTTGATTAGCAATCTTGCTTTCCCGCGGTTGATAAGTAGCTCCCAAATGCCAGGTACCAAGGGTTTTTACTGAACTGGGAAAATCTGCTTTTAGTTACAGTGCACCAGCGAGCTGGAACTCACTACAGGAAACCCTACACCTCAGCTCACTGGTGTCACTCATTTCACTGTCATTTTAAGCCTTTACTCTCTAACCACCTCCACTCTGCCTGCAACTGTTTTACCTGATTTTTATTTTCATTATTTTATTATTTATTCATCAGTTTATTTACTATTATTCATATGCTTATTCTTATTTTAATTGTGATTATTTTATTATTTTAGTCATTTTACTTTATGATCTTATTCTCCTCTTATTTTATTTTGATTTTATTAACCTTTACATTTTAGCTATGTTTTAATTATTGTTTCAGATTTTTTATTGTATTTTTTTGTATTTATATTATTAATTTTTCACTTTTTTTATACTTACCTGATATGAGTCTTTTTTTATTTATTAAATTACTTTTATTATTTAATATGTTCTTACACATTATCAATCCCTTGCTCTGTATTAACTCGGCAACATTGTAAATGAGGTTCATCCTCAATGTTCCCCCGAGTTTAAATAAAGATTGATTGACTGACTGATAATCTAAGCTCAAAAAAGCAAACATCACTCACCGCTGCCCTCTAAATGTGTTATAGCAGTTTAGCTGTTTTTGTAAGACCCATGCTGTGTCTCAGAAAATGCATTTTTTGTTGTTTTTATTTACATGAGTTTTCAACATTCCTCAATAAAAACACAGCCATTTATATTCTGTTTTTAGCAATGAAAACGTGTGAAAGATAAATAATTGCAATCAGCTTAAATAACTGCAATAAACTCAAATAATTTCAATTAGGCCTAATACAGGTAAGGTTAGAAAGGGTGGAGTCTCGGCCTCAGATGCTCTGTCCAAGCATAAAGAAAGTGTCTGACATCACTTTAAGCTGGCCACAACTATTGCAATTTTGTCTGTTCCTGTCTGATAAGCTTCTCACAATCAGAATCTGGCACTGTGAGTTTTATCAGTCCAGCAGGAAAAAAAACTTGCAAGTAGCTGCCCTGCTCTGAGACTGAGCCTTTTGGAGTGAGATACAGTCACTGGACTGTCTATTTCACTGCATAACATCTTTAAAAGTTTTTCAAGAGTGTACTTTGAAGCATTCAGTATCTTTTAAATGATACATCCCCGCCAGTTTGTCAACGTGCATTACAAGTTATGTGCAGGTTTTTATTGGTTGTAGCTCCATATTTGGTTATTTTGCCAGTGAAGTGGTCCTTTGCTGTCAACATACGCAGTTCTTGGACACATTAAGGAATAAAATGCAGCAGACTCTATAACGATAGGCAAAAGTCTGGCGTGCGAGACTAGTAGAGGTGTAATGATACATGCTAAGATTTGATTCGATTTAGGTTACTGGGTTCACAAGTCAACATTCTCACAACATTCTGAACAAAACTTGAATGAGGAAAAGTGATGACTGTTCATGTTGCTGCACAAACTACTAATGATACTAGAGCTGGAATGGTGAGAGGAGAGTGGCACATGACAAACACGCTGAATTTAGTTGTAAGCCTTGGTGTTCAAACAATGCATCGGCATTAGTTATCATACTTGATAGAATACCAATGCTCCTCATTGTAATGTGTATGTATTGTGTTCCTCGCTAAAGGCTAAACGCTGAGTAAAATGCACATGCTAATGTTGACGGTAGCTAGCCATGTTTGTGATAGCTTTCAAGTAAAGGTGATATCAGATGCAGGGTTAGAAAAATAAATAAATAAATAAATAAAAATTAAAAAAATCCTTCTTTTTAAATAAAAGGACAAATCTCTATCAACGTGAGCACATCATGTTTACAGCAACCCTAGTGGCCACAGCACTGGACTGCAGCCCCTAAAGTGGGCAATATGAAACCTCTGGCTGGCTATATTCCCATTAGCCTCCACACACACACACACACACCCACACACACACACCCACACACCCACAGTCACACATTTCTACACATGATCCTTGGGCAGTAAATCACCCAGCCAATTAAGAGGACAGTAAAAAAAAGGGATTAGTTTCAGTGCAATCAGTCTCCTCCGCCGTCTCTGTCCGCTCTAGCGGGAAAAATGGTTCCATAATTCATACAAATATATGTGGCTGCGAGCTGGAAAGCTAATATGAAGCAGAATGCAGAAGTAGAATGAAGAAGAATTCTGTATGGTCAATTGATATGCTGATTTTTTCGTTCTCCATTCTCCAATTTTTTGGCCAATTTTTATGAGAATGCACTGAACTGTGGGCTGAAGCTGATTTCCAATATTTTTCATGTAAATGTCTGTTAGTACTGAATCCAGAACACATAAAAAAAGTATTAATTGGGACTATTTCTACCTAGATTGGCATTACAGAGGAATGTAACAATTAACTTGTAGAGGGTTACAAATGCAGTAAAAAAAAAAAAAATTTAGCGCAGTGGACCTATTTTGGAGCACAACAAATATGTCATCAAATATATGATTTATATATATATAACAAATACATCAAGCATTGGTCTGAAATATCGGTCAAATCTAAACATCTGTCTGATGCTTTTTTTTTTTATTCAAATATTTGCTGATACTAACATGATTCCATTATCATTATGCTTCTTAGACTTTTTTTTTTAGACTTTTATTCAAGCCAAAGATTTTTTGGAAAGAAGCAGGCAACAAAAACAATAACACTGGATGTGCCTCATCACAGATTTAATTACAGTTCAATCTGTAAGTAATTGATGCAATTTTGCTTCTTTTTATCTCTTTACTCCAGCTCATTCAAGGGTATTTACTATCTATAATGGGCAAGCCATATAAGAATTAAAGCACTTTTTATATAAGTAATCAGATGATTTTCCACTCAGTTTTTCATGATCTAGCTTAACAATAGCATCTTGAGTCTGTTGTCTCACATGCAGGTGAACTGACATGCAATAAGTTATGTTATAGGATGGGCTGCAGGATCTATGGTACATGATATGTATCATGGGCTGTGCATCCGAGTAGGGACGCGAATCCTGGCAAATTCTTTTAATGATAACCAACTGTTACTAGTTGGTGACAAATCGTGATCTGACAAACTTATAATCACGGATACAGCCCACAAAAACTTCAAGCACAGCGCTGCATTTTATATAAACAAGGCTTTAGGCTCTATTGAGTGAAATTAGGCTCTATTGACAGCCTGATGTAACAGATAGTAACATACTGTACATATACAGCGAGGCCACGGCGCTAGCTTGAAGTTCACATGCACAGTTTAGATAACGATCAACAAAGCTGGTAGCTTGCAGCGTGTAATAGTGCAGTGTCATAGTTATAACCTCTTAGTACTGTGTCATGTAGCTTAATATCCTAGTTGCCACAATGTTGTAAACTACATTTAGGATGGCTTAATCTCTGCGATACCCCTTTATCAACAGAAGAAGTTGTGCATCACTAACTAGGCCACCATAACAACCTGTGCTCCTGCGCTCTCATGCATACAGTTCAAAAATGGTAATCAAGTTTAATGAAAAACCCACCTATTCAAAAACCAAATGTTTACCAAAGTCAAATTTACTTTTTAACCGAAAACACTGGTCAAACATTTATGGATTACTTATGGCTCTCTGAAATGAGGATGACTATCTCACACGCTGTCCAGTGACTTACAGAATGCACTCTATCAGGTTGCTTCTAGTTGTCATAACTGGGATAATCATTTCTTTCTTTTATTGTTTTTACAAAGCAAGCAAGTGATCAATTCTGATTGGATGGGCTTCCAAGCCTACCTGTCGATTGCTGCGGAAGGTGTACATGTGATAGAGCGCAGGGATGAGTTTCTTCTCCTGAGCCGGGTTCAGAATGTTGTTTTGGATTTTCAGTTCACGCACCAGCAGATCCACCAGGAAGCTGCCCAGCTGAATGATCAACACGTGTGTCCAGGATGTGTCATCAGTCAGCAGGGAGGGGCCAGCGCTTCTCTCCGCCTCCAGCCTACTCCACTGTTCCCGCGGCAAGACGCTGCTTGACTGTGACGGCACAGGAAATGAAAATGACAGGATTGAATCCAAAGCTTTGTATGTACACTACCATTCACAAGTATGGTAGCACTTGTCATATTGTCAATCGTTAATAATTGTTGTCATTTAAAATATAATATACAACTTATAGAATGTAGACTTTAAGAAGTTAAAAAGAAGATAATACACTGTAATAATCTATTTGCAAGAATTTATTATGAGCCTTTTAGATGCTCATTTTCATTCTTGATGGTGTACAGCTTTCATGGTTCTTTTAGAAACATCTAAAGCTGTCATGATTACAGCTTCAATCAGAATACCCACAGGTCAGAATTAAGCCGTGTTTAACAGTCTGAAGATTCTCTTCAAGGGGGCACTATTAGCACTCAAATTGCTTTTTTTCACAAAACAAAATGAAACTCATGCGAGCAGGATCTTGTGAAAGCATGTTTGAAGTTACAATTTTCATGTAAAATGGAATTTTTGCTGTTACAAATTGTGTATGTATGAAGTGAAACATAAAAAAAAACTTGGAGACGGCTTACAGTTAACAGGCTACTCCAACAATATTCAGAGGCTCTACTAAAGACTTTAAAACTGCAACACACAAATGAAAGAATATGCCACGTGAATGTCTCTTACAAGCTTCAAATGTCCTTGTTTAAGTAGAGCTCGCCTAGGTAGTACTAAACCCTGTGTGAGAAGTGAACACCACTGCTTGTTATTTTTCAGGTAAGCCCATTTTCATTCATCAATACTTTCAGCCTTTGTTTGAACCATTTAATACATCTGCAACCACACTAGTTTTATATTATCGAAAACATTAATTCCAAACTTTTAAACTTAAGCACACTGTCATTGCAATTCTTCAAACAAAGATATTCTTTTCATGACTGCTCAACTGACTCTGGTAAGGATTCCAGAAATCATTTATATTAACTCTCTAAAGCCTTCTTTAATTACCATCTAGTATAAATATTTTACAACAAAAATCGTGATTAATAAGATTAATCAAGGGGCTGATTATGTATTCTATCTGCAGAAGGCGAGCTATGTACCTTTGTGTCTTTTGCAAGTAGCTCAGCGTATGAATTGTAGATGCAGGCCAGTTTCTCGACCATCTGGCTGTGGCTCTTCTGCTGGATGCAGAGGTTGTTGTGGACTCTGGTGCCCAGCTCCTTCGCCATGTTGAGCAGAGAGTCTCCGCTGGGCGGCAGGTTGGCCAAACCCTGAACAGCAACATCAAAGCAATAAAAAAAACATAATAAATAAAAAATTAAATGTCTGAGCACTGTTTTGACCTGGGCCCTTTTACTTGTGGCTGGTATTTTTCCTTTATACACAACAAGAAATCCAGCACTAGAAAACCAAAGCTGGGCTTATTCCATTAGCCACCTGCCGAGTACCAAAGATAATAATAATGATGATCGAAATACATCTGATGACCAGTTTTACAGTTTTTGGCACAGGCTGAAGACAGATAGCAAGAGGATTTAACCATATTTGAGGGTGCTGTTCTCTGTGTTTGGTAACACTTGCCAACGTAACTCATGCCAACAACAATTTAGTGTACTCTTTGATCTTCTAGGTGAAGATCCAGCCATCAAGCACTATTATATCACCAATAAGTGCATCAGAATTAGGGCTGCAAAGAACAGATATTGTGACATTGGATTCATGTGAATTAATCGACCAATAATCGATGAGTGGGCTAACATGTGGTCTGTAAATGTGAAGAGCTGTTACAGTAAAACATATTGCAATGTTCTGATAAACTGATCAAACTGAGGTACTGTTCACCAAGAGCTAAATTATCACCACTGAGAAAAATGTGGTGCTTTTGTTTAAGCCTTCACATAATTCTGAGCTACTGTAAGTAACTAAAAATAAGTGACACAATAATAAATATGCACATTAATGCTACAGCTCCTCGGGTTGCAGCATAATTTAACAGGCTTAACATTTTAATGTGCTACTTCACTAGACACGCTATGTGTGAACAGGTTTGCAGGACAATGGATGGGATTTTTTTCCCACATTACAACTATGTTAACAAAATGAAAAAAATATTTTAAGCTAATTACCCAATTATGATTTTATACTACTAAAAACACTGATTCCAAACTTTTAAATAGTTATTCTAAACTTCGTACAAGCAGTGTACGTCAGAGCAGTCGTTCAAGTTGACACAGGGACAAGTGACGCGTTTATGTACCTGCAGCATGATGTTGACGTAATCCTCATCGCGAAGGATGCACAGGAACGGGTAGATGTCTGTCTTCCAGTTCCTCAGTTTGCTTTTGCCTAAAATCAGTTTGCTGTCTCTCAGAGCCTGGAGCAGATTTTTTTGCCAGTGGGCGCGTTGCTCTGCTAACAGTTTCCTCTGGAAAGCATCAGAGAACAGAGAATGTTTTCAATGGACTGAACAGATGCTGCATACCAAAACTTTCTGCTGCAGTTTCTCACTGAAAACAACACTTTCAGTCAACAGTAACAGCCAAGATGGATTCAAACAATGGATACATAATGATAATTGTAATCGAGACAAATTACGAAGGTCACTTTGATTAGACTAATTTGATGGCCCACTGTAGATGCTCACCTTGTCTTTAACTGGCATTCAAATAATAATTAAACTTACAGAGACACTCAGGCCAAAATAAAACAATGTAATCGTTACAACTGCTGTAAACGAGCTTACTTGTATCCAATAGCATTGTCGCAGTAGTCTCTAGAGTGAGTCATTCTGGGTTAAAAACTAAGAAAACTTTCTTCTGATGATGTGTCTTGAAAAAAGCAAGGAATCTGAAAAATTACAGGGGAAGGCAGGCAGCTAACGTTACTGTTAGGATGTCCAGTATCTTATGGTAGCCATATAATAGTAGTAACATTCTTCATTCTTCAAATCAACATTACAGTGGAGAGAATGAAAATGAACAAAAGAAATGACTCGTCTGATGAGGCGGACAACAAGCTAAAAGCTTAAGCAAGAAAAGTAGGTACCTGCTTATCTAAACAGACTGGCTTCTTTTCTCTGACTGAAAGGGTGAAAAACTTGTCACTGGCATCCCCTTCATTAAAATAAATATGATAAATATAGTAAAAACGTTGTTTTCTTTATGATTTTGGCCTGAATGCCGCAAACACATACTACGATCCTAAGCCTGACCTCGAAGCAAAAACTAATCCTAAAAGTATCTTGGTTCTAATTCTAACACTGTTGATAATTAACTGTTTTAACAGTTAGTTTGTCAACAATTTCAGTATTTGTAGATACTCTATAGGAGTACATCTAAATAAGGTACCACCATAATTTTTATCTGCATCTGTCAATATATTACATGACATATTTCTCAAAATTGTGCAGGAATGGATGCAAGTCACATTCACCAAGAGTTGTACAACACTGCAGTCATAACGAAACCTCGAAATAGTTGCAGAAAGTGTTTTTTTTTCTTCTCCTATAAAAAAAAACTTTAATGTACATTAAAGTTCTCATTACATAAAGTGATTTAAATTTAAATTCATGTCATTCTGGCCCATTTCTGTTGGCCCCTTCATTATGAAATACCCACACAACATAAAGTGCAGCTAGCATTTTCAAATTCTATGATATGACAAATGGTCTGGATATAACAAAAACGATAAAGACCATAGAACATTATATTCTAAAGCTCTCATCAGTCCGACAGTGATAGATTTGGAGAGGTACACATCGTGAGCGGCTATCTGAGTGAAAGTGGGTTAGCCGTTCATCAGGGGGTTGTTCTCTCCCTGAGCCCAGCAGAGCGAGCAGATGACACAGCGCTGATAGGCTGGCCTCAGTGTCCAAAGGTGACACATTAGAAGGCATTAGTATTCTTTTCAGCGCTGGTGTAAATGCTGCAGGGCCACCAGGGACCCCCTGACCTCTCCAATCTGAGACCACGAGCAGAAGAAGCAGACCAAGTAAATGCCACTGCAGAGAGCATTACGGAACCTGCAGTAATGGCCGTTGTCTCAGAGTATAATTCCAGACTAAAAAATTTCAAACAAACATCTGAGGTTACTCGGACAGTTTAAAGACACATTTAGATCAAAGACTTTGCTGCAAATCATGTAAGAAAACTCATGGGTCTCAAAGGAATGAGAGTTTTTGGCTAAGCGACTTCAAAACTCTATTAGCTCTTAGGCGAAGGCAGTGCTTGACATATACAGTGAAGAAGAAGCTTAACTAGCTTAAATAAAGCTAACAACCTACCAAACTTGAAGCAGCTAACCAATGCCGACAAGTGAGTCTTAGTCTTGTGAGGCTAGATGTGATCTGGTAATGAGAATCTATGTCTAGGCCAACTTGTTAAACTCTGGGTGCTGGATTGCCAAGCACCCTGCACACCTGGGCCCAAACTCTTCTAGCTAGTTATCGCTGTCTATGGCTGTCTATTTGCCCACTAATGGGCAAGCACCCTACACTGTGCCAATAAGAGTCCTTGGGCAAGACTCCTAACACTACCTTTGTCTACGTGGGTAAGAGTGTCTGTCAAATGCTGTGAACAAATCAGTACATAGTGAATACAAATTTGTGGCTAGTCCCTGGTAGTAAGAATATCAGTTCAGTTCAGTTCAGTACTTCGGCACTTTTCGTATTTCAGTAGTTAAAGCGGAAGGACCCAAAATAATATAGGATGTAATGATTGGTTGGACTCTGCAAAATCTTCCTAGCATCCAAAATGCATTCGGACTGGTCATATTTGAGCCAATACATTTAAAGAAATAAGGACATCTGTTTCATCAGTTTGTGCCTTCAGTATTCCGTACAGCAGCTTCCACAGAAGGAGCAGTTTTCCTAACAGTGTTTTCCTACATTTGAATGAGGCTACCATGGAAAAAAGCCTAGTAAAGTGAGGCAGTGGTGTGAAGCCATGCAGCTGCAGGGAGTCTGCTAAGGTAACTTAGCTGACGGTGTAAACTTAAGATTAACAGCTCAGTATTAAACATACTGTGTTTCAGGGTGATGATCCATTGTTTAATATTCGTTGGAGTGTTAAATAAGATGTTTAAATGTGCTAAAATGCATTTTAACTGGCTGTGTAAGTTTTCCCCACTCACATTCCTTCACACCTTCACATCCCTGTGCTTCCCCACTAGCCATTTTTGGGTCGCGCTGAGGGACGGTCACTATTTACACAGATTTAATGTCCAAACTGAGCTTAGATGGTCTTGCCAACTGTTTTGATGGAAACAAGGATATATGACAATGTCTCAGATGTATCCCTGACAAATGACAAGAAAGTGTTTTTTTATTACTCAAATAGGAAAAGTTGCAAGTCTACGGAATACTGAAGTGTATGGAATACTGTGCTCTTATGTTAATACCAACAATATTGACTGGGCACTCACCCACTGTTCTGCTTAGCCACACTGTTGTTTTTAGGATGGGATATTCCAGCCATTTCATAAAAGTTTTCATTTTGTTCACACTGAGACCCAAATACAGTCGTGTGTCAGTCACACATAGCAATAATTAAAGCTACCAAGCCTTTTTTCATTCAATTAACGCTGCTAGCATTGCTAGCTATAGGATTGTCCTGTGATATGTTAGCACCATGCAAATGGTGGTTTACCTAAGCAATTCATGTAGCTAAAACAGTTAGCTGAAGACTGACCAGACATTCAGTTAACATTTTTCTTTGTACGTTGCGGTTTAAGAGTGACCCTTTCAGTAAAGATTTAAACTTAACTCTTGTAACTGAATATTTCTGAAGGAGCCTAATTAGCTAGCCTCTGAGCTGTAAGCTATTAGCCTGTTAGCAGGTTAGCCTACTTTAATGTCATATTTTGTGCATGAAATAAACAAATAAAGTGCAATCCTTGTGAAATACAACATGGTATAGAATATTTTGTTAGGTAGTTAGTAGCAAACACTTATCAAAGCATGTTAGTGAAGTTAAATCAGAGACATGTGCAACTGGTTAGCTAATTAGCTAACAGGTTGCTGTGAACAACTCAGTGAGTAGACATATGATAGTGACAAGTATGTTACTAGAACAAAACCTTTTCTGTCGGTAGTTTTTTTTATTCATAAGTGTGAAAAATAAGCAATACTTTTTTGAGGAGGGGAGGCAAGTGAGAAGCATCCGTCCTCCATTTTAAACTTTACGAAGGCTGAGCTGGAGACGTGACGTGATGAAGTTCCAGTGCACTGTAACGATTTTGGACAATGGGATACCCTTGAAAATCACAGATTATCTTGGCAGCAGTGATGGGGAGTTGACTCCAAAAGAGTTGGTAAACAACTCAGAGTTAAAATGCTTGGAGTCTACTCTTCGATTCCACGTTAGTTCAAACATTAACAGATATACAGTGCACTCTCAGAAAAAAGGCCTGAAACTGTCTCTGGGGCAGTGCCCCTCTTGTCACTGGGGTGGTTCCCTCAAGGGTCCAACTCAGTATGTTTAGTCAGGGAACATAATTGTACCATAATCCACTGATATTATATTGTCTGAGTTGTATTGACTCCACACCCCCCGTCTCGTCTCCAGGCTTTTTATTTTATTGTTCTGTTGTAATACGTTAAATTATAAAAAGGTCCAAATATACACTCTTCCATGGGGAAAAACTTATTTAAGGTTCACAATTTGGCCTTAAAGCCACTGTTGTACCTTTGAAGGAACATTTACATTGTTTATACCTTGATGCACGAAAAATGTACCTGCACAGAACCTTTATTTCTAACAGTGTGGTCCCAAAAAGTTTTGGTTGGTAAACCTTAATGAAGTTCTTTAGGTTCCTTCATAAAATGTTTAACAAAGTTATATTTGTTTCAGAGAAAAAAGAAAACATCATCAAACTGATGGCAGATAGTTTGTGCTGAGAAAGCTTAGAGAAAAATTCCAAACAGAATTCCAACCAGACTGTACTAAGGCTCTACGTAAAATACAGAGGTGGAAATGTCAAAGCCTGGAACTGTTTTTCTGACAATGGTGTCTGTGAGCTTGTGTTCACTGATGGGATCATGATCTCAGAAGTGTACAAAGACATTCTACATACAAATCTGCAGAAGCCTGCAAAGAAATAAAAATCTTAAGCAGACACTTTATGAAAACATTCTTTGCCAAAATGAAAAATTGCAGTCTTGGAATGCTCTGTTTATAATAAATACCACTTGCTATTTTAAGTATGGCACAAATACTGTCCAAATACTCTTTGGGGCCACCGTAGCTCTCATTTTGCATAGCTAAAAACTGAGTAGCAGCCTGAATTATGTCCGCAAGTTTGTTCATTTTTCTAGATAACCAATCATACTGTGTCAGAAATCGGTTAATGTAGTCTTTTTAAGATTAAGCGTGTAAGGATTTATTCATATAGTCTGCACAATACTAATTTCTATTACTTGTTAGCTACATTAGCCTCATAGCTCCAATGTGAAACTAAAGAAACAAAGTTCAAACACCAAATATGTTTTAGTTAATCAACTACATTTAAAATAAAGGGGAAACTGTGAACTTGATTACTTTAAACCACGTACCATTCTGATTATGTTTTCCGTGACGGGCTTCATGGCTTCCACAGAGTCTATAGTGATGGTGTTGGCCTGCTCCAGAGTAAGCTGATGCTTGAAGCGGTCCTGCAGGTCTGCCAGACTGAAGTCCAGTTTAGGATATCTGACCTCTTCTCTCTGAAATGCACAAGACTAGAGGTCAAGAAGATGTTAAGGAAGGAATAGTGCTTTAGTTGTACATTAGCCCTGATTTCCAGTCATCACCCTCATAACTTTGAATCCAGTGATGCACAGAAATGAAAAAAATGGAATGAAATCTTGGCTGAAAACAGAAAGAAAAATGAATGTGTGCACCAACATAATGCAACTTCCTCAACAACAGAAAATGGTCGGTCGTCCAAGGCACTAAATTCCATTATTTTTAGTTATAATTTGTAAATATAATGGTGTTAATATGCTAGCGAGAGCTTTCCTTTCTGCTTCTCGTGTCTGTGTATGTATCAGGATATTGTGTTTTCAAGTGGTATCTCAGGTGTTGGAGAAGTTTTTGGGGGTTGTATCCACTCCTAAGACTTGGCATGAACTCTTGTCCACTGTCACTCAGAAAAACTGTGAAATGGCTCCATGTGGCTGATATTTCCCCTGTGGATCTGCTGTTCAAACCGTCTGCTCTAAACTCATTTTCATTATCATTAAAATTATTTATAAAGCCTTAGATTTGACAAAAGTCTTAAACTCTGACACTTCGTTGTAGGCCTGTTTAATCTTAAGCTTTTTTTACAGCCAAAATATTCAGCTAACAACCACTGCCATTTTGACCAAATTTCCTTATGGAAACTATTCCTGTCAACGGGAATCATGCTTCTTCTTGGTTTTATGTTGGGGTTTACTCTTTAGACAGCAAAATAGCATTTGTGCCATACAGAAACCTTCTAACTCTGATATGGCACATTTAAAGGAAATGGAAAAACATTCTTAACATTCTTAAAAACAAATTTGTTAACATAATGAGATTTTATTTTATTGATGAGAAGATTTTTGGATTTTTGTTATGGAACAATAGAACTGGTGGTTTTAGATAGTGTAAAAAATACTAACTGAAAAGGCAGTGAGAGTTTCCTTATTACAGCAACTATGTACAACTGGCTAAACAGATGTTTTAGAGGAAAGAAGCTTGTTTAGCCTATTTGGGTTCTTCAGCCTATTAAAACATCACAAAGCATGCTGGTTAATTGTTTATTGCCAGCAAATACTGACATCCAAACTAAACAGCATGCACTGCTTTAATAATTTGCTGTCAGCAATAGTGTGTTTTATCAAGTGTGTGTGTGTGCGTGTGTGTGTGTGTGTGTGTGTGTGTTAGGATTGAAACAGTTGGTAAAACAGTGGCAGCCTGTTGACAAGGGAAGAGTTCTGCTCAGGTCACAGTGATAATTTGTGAAAAGTAATGTTCACGTAAATTGATCTCTTAAAGGGCCCATATCACGGAGAAACAAATGTTTGCACCTTTTTTAAATCAAGTTTAGTACGTAAACAGTCAAAGTTTCAAAAGGTACCCCTCACTCCCCAGTGCATCAAGTCCAAATCTGTAGATAAAGCTGAAAAAAAAAGCCCATTTTGAATTCACCATCACAGAACAGCACATTTCCGTATCACTAGCTATTTAGCCCACAGCAGTTTAGCCCCATGTATCCATGCTGAAGTTATAAGAAGTGTTTCAGCCTATACTGCTTATTGAATGAGGCACAGCACAGGGCAGCCAATCAGAAAAGGGGTCATACATGATCTACATCAGTCTTAAAGGTACAGTAACAAAGATCAGCTCAATTCTAAAAAACAGTTTAATTCTAAGAAATAAATAGAGGTCATGTAAAAATGAATTATGACTTTTTAGTACATAAACCCACATAAAATCAGAGAAAATAAAATGCAAGAAAAATGCATGATATTGGCCCTTTAACAAAGAATTGGCAGTATGATTGACTCTGAACTGCTATGCCACATGTGCTGTTTAATGTCAGATTCAGCAGCAACCACATTTCCTGTCACAATCTGATTTGCTGAAGGTCAAATTCCCAACAACTAAAAAATCTATGACATCATGCAAACATCAGCCCGTAGCTTTGATTAATGGTCAGTTAACGTGCCGAATACATCCCATAACTTCACTTGTGTCCAATTAAAGTGAAATAAGCGTTTTCAGGGGGCTCGTCAGGGTCTTGCTTTCAGCACGCGCCAGTGGCCTGGCAGACGGCCAAATGGAAGGCTGTACAAAGAGTACAGACTGTAAATACGCCATATATCACAGCAGCAACTTGCTCAGTGGAGCCGAGGAAGCCATAAAATGAGCTCTGGGCTTAGGCGTGCTGTGGTTTATTATTATTATACAGAGCCGTAAGGACATCTGGTAGTAATCATTAAACAGTACCTACAGAACAAAAGCAGGGCTAAACACAGTTTGGTCTAACATTCTCTGAGGGGGAAAAAACTGGCCTAAAGGCAGTGATGTGGATGGTGGCCAGAGTAAGCAAAAAGATTATGAGGAAGATAAATCAGCCCCGAGACTAGAAGTAGGACTCGACCAATATGACAACATTTTCATTTATACTGACATTTATTTTTATATTTTTTCTTATATACAACTATATTTAAATTTTATAAAAATCGATTTCAAAATCCAGTTACTAACAGTCTCAGCCAGTATCATTCAATATGGTCAAAAATGAAACAAACTGCAAAAGTTTCAGTTAAACATTGCTTTAGTTACTGTGTATGACTGGTAATTGCCATTTGTGAAATATATATATACACACACATATACATATATATACACATATATATACACACACACACACACTATATTGCCAAAAGTATTCGCTCGTCTGCCTTCACACGCATATGAACTTGAGTGACATCACATTCTTAATCCATGGGGTTTAATATGATGTCGGCCCACCCTTTGCAGCTATGACAGCTTCAGCTCTTCTGGGAAGGCTTTCCACAAGGTTTAGGAGTGTGTTTATGGGAATGTTTGACCATTCTTCCAGAAGTGCATTTGTGAGATCAGACACTGATGTTGGACAAGAAGGCCTGGCTCACGGTCTCCGCTCTAATTCATCCCAAAGGTGTTCTATCGGGTTGAGGTCAGGACTCTGTGCAGGCCAGTCACGTTCTTCCACACCAAACTGGCCCATCCTGCATTCAACGCTTTGCATTGCGCTTGGTGATGTGAGGCTTGGGTGCAGCTGCTCGGCCATGGAAACCCACTCCATGAAGCTCTTTACACACTGTTCTTTAGCTAAGCTGAAGGCCACATGAAGTTTGGAGGTCTGTAGCGATTGACTCTGCAGAAAGTTGGCAACCTCTGCGCACTATGCGCCATGAAGGGGCTCGGCCCCTTAGCCCCTTCGTGGCTGAGTTGCTGTCGTTCCCAATCGCTTCCACTTCGTTATAATACCACTGACAGTTGACTGTGGAATATTTAGTAGAGAAGAAATTTCAGGACTGGACAGATGGCATCCTATCACAGTACCAAGCTGGAATTCACTGAGCTCCTGAGAGCGACCCATTCTTTCACAAATGTTTGCAGAAGCAGTCTGCATGCCTAGGTGCTTGGTTTTATACAACTGTGGCCATGGAACTGAATAGGAACGCCTGAATTCAATGATTTGGATGGGTGAGTGAATACTTTTGGCAATTTATATATATATATATATATATATATATGCATGCATGCAGATACATTCTAATTAGCCTACAATTTCTAAACTGCATCTTATTGGATTCACAGTGTTATGTTACAGCTATGCTAACAGGGAGTGTCTCTTGACACTAACAGTCAGAAGAATCCATCCGTTTTGCAGAAAAGCCAAAGATAAAAAATAAAAATAAACAGATTTTATCTGTATTTTTTTGTAGTAGACAAAAAATACTCAAAAGAAGTCAGGTTATTGTTAAAATAAATCTGTGTATGAGTGTAACTACCTAATGTGTGCCTCACAGCCTCTCAGCTGCACAGCACTGCATAATATGTTAGAAAACAAACTAAGATGCTATTGGTTAGTGGAATTATTCCCAGCCGCAAGAACACAGTGACACAACCAGACGTTGGTCAGTGTTTAGAGGCATCAAAAGTCACTATACTTCATTATGGTGAAATAAATACATTTTTCTTTTTTAGTGATATGACACAATGGATTGGGCTTAAAATCACCAAGAACAGGATAAAAAAGTCCATTTTGATTTCAGGTTGACTTTAAACATTTAAGCGTGACCTCAGCCCTATAGCTTATTTCACTGATTTACTGCTGTAGCTGGGAAGGGGCTCTAAAACGTGATGCTACAGTGCTATTGATGGGTTGTTTTTTTTTTGTTGGCCCTTGCATCCAAGCTGTGTAACCACTGTTTAATAAAAACAAGGAGTCTTCATAGACAGTGCTACTGAGGACCCACCATTCTTGGCTGCAGCCTAGATTTTGGAGCACAGAAACATCTCTGCCCATATTTCCCAGATGGAGAGAATCTACACCCATGTGCACTTGAAACCACAGCCTTGGATGTTTAACCCAACATTGCGTGAGAAAGGCAGATGCATTATGGCTGTCCAGTGGGAGGTCAGTATGGAAGTGTGGTTAAGTGTATATCTGCAGCAAGCGTGCAAACGGCAGCTGAGACATTCCTACAAATTCTCTCTCTCCCTTGCTCAATTGCTCACTTGCTTTCTCTCTCTCTGACTATGTGTAATGTGTGAAGTGAAACATTAAACAAACAGAACAAGCTGTGATGAGCCTGAGTTACTGAGTTATGTAATACTGATTCACAGTATCCCACAAAACACAGAAAGAATCATTTTTTCTGATCACAGTTTCTGACTAAGACTGTGCAATGCAGGCGTGTTAGTGTTTGTTCGATCTAAGTACACTGTCACAACATAGCCGCTGCTTTACATCAGTTTATTTGTTGTATTGTTTGTGTATATGTTTTAATGTTTCCCCACTGGTCAAATATTTTTCCACTTGGACATTTAACCCACAGATATAGCGGCCAAGAGTGGATAAGACTCTTCTTGAGCTGGCCATTCGAACAACGCTATATCGCAGCTACAGAGCTGCCTGGAGTGTCCGTTTGTTTGATGCAAGATCGCAACTATGTGGCTGCCTTGGTCGGCCACTTTACAGTAGCTAGGTGGCTGCTAGGGCCAGGGGTATTTTTGCTGCATTTACAGCATCGCAGAGCAGCTACGAGGCTGCTTGGGCTGTGTGCCTAAGTGACATGACATCACAGCGTCTGGCTGCCTGGCCTGGGTGCTTGAGTGACGCTGCATTGCAGCTATGAGGCTGCCTGCAACAGTGGAGAATGCTACCGACTTTCGTGGCCTATGAGGTTTCCTGGGCTGGCTAGCTGCCTGTGTAGCTCTACACTATGGTTCCAGGGCCCCCCAGGCAGAGAGGGGCCTTGCCCCACAGCTAAGACCTCCTTCTCCCTCACCCAGCTGTGGAAGTTTCAGTCAGGTTTTCGTTCTAACCATAGTACAGAGACAGCACTGATTCGCGTTATGAATGACCTCAGGCTCAGCGCTGATGCACAAAATCCTCCTATTTTGGTTTTATTAGATCTTAGTGCAGCTTTTGATATTGTTGACCACAAGATTTTAATCCAGAGCCTTGAACGCCGGGTCGGCCTCTCGGGCACAGTTTTAGAATGGTTTAAATCATATTTAAGTAATAGGCAGGTCAAGGTTTCACTTGTAAATCATTCATCAAAAAGATTTGCCATTTCTTGTGGAGTCCCTCAAGGTTCAGACTTAGGGCCTTTGCTTTTCTCTTTGTACATGCTACCTCTAGGTGACGTCGTTAGGAAGCATAGTATAAATGTTCATAGCTATGCTGACGGCACCCAGCTATACATTTCTATTTGTTCTGAAGATCAAGACTCTGTAGACAGACTAATCAACTGTGTGTCAGATATTTCTTAGTGGATGTCACAAAATTTTCTACAATTAAATCATGAAAAAACTAAAATATCGATTGTTGGTACAGAAACTCAGAGAAAAATGATTTATGAGGAACTTGGTTCTTTAGCTTAATACACCAAACCTGAAGTATGAAACCTAGGTGTGATCTTAGACTCTGAGCTCTGTTTTATCCCGCATGTAAACACAGTCACTAAAGTAGCTTTTTATCATTTGAGAAATGTTGCTAAAGTTCGGCCTTTTCTCTCTCAGAGCGACGCAGAGAAACTTGTTCATCCGTTTGTTACAAGCAGACTTCTGTAATGCTCTTCTTACTGGACTTCTTATGACAACTCGTACAAAATGCAGCAGCGCGCATCCTAGTGAGATCATATCACTCCTGTTTTAAAAGAGCTGCACTGGCTACCTGTATCGTTCAGGATAATGTTAGATCAGTCAGATGTAACAACACCTGTAGGTCCCAATCATTTTTTAAGCAATTACCGGCTGACGCTGATATGATTGTGTTATCATCATGCATTCCCTACCTAAAATATCCACATGTGACTCCCCCAGTATCATTTAGCACTATTTCAGACATTCAGCGGTTTGTAAAAACTAGTGTAGTGCATTATTGTGGCTCCACTGCGCATATTCTCATAGACTCTGGGTAAACTTTCTGAATTCTTTGACCACTAACTCAACCTTCTTACATAGAAAACTAGCTTTCACAAGCAGAACCTCCTCACGCTCCAGTTCTTCTATTTTTCAGGACAAAAATGTATCATTCTGCAGACGGAGTTCTCTCAGACACGCTTGCTACTAGTGGTAAATTTGTCCCGCTGTCAGCTCCTACACCAATAGGAACGCGGCATGTGGTGCTGTGGACTATAAATGGGCTTAGGTGGACCCCAGGTAATGAATCATTGAGAAGGAAAAGCAGGGCACCACGGCCTGAGAGCAGCATCTCCTGTGGTTAAAAATAGCCTGCATATCAGTGTTGGGAGTGCTCATTCATAAAAGCCCAGGCTGAGGCCAATCCCTGTTTAGGCACTTTCATATGGCTGGTCTGCTTACCCAGGACCACTGCCATAAAATAAACATATGCCTCCTGACTCATCTGACTTCCACTGCTCCGTATTAGAGAGGAGTCTGAATGATCAAACTAAACTGTGCGGCTGATTTGCACTGCCCTGTAGCACCTGTGCACTGATGAGCAATTAAATGCAGAATATTAGCGCAGAGCGTTTCAGCATGTTATAAAAACTTTATGGTCACAGTAAAATCCAAATGAAAAAGAGACAGCAGATGGTCTCATCTCGATGGCTGGGTATTCAGACCATTACGCTTAAAAGTAGTTTCACGACCATTTCTATAATGAAAAATCCTGCAAAACAGAACAGAAGGGATTAAATTGATCACTAGGGGCAAAAAGATTTTTAACTTTTAAAGGGGAATCAGGGGTCATGATGTTTACAACACAAAAACAGTGAGTTTATTTACTATCCAAAACAACCAGTGAACCTACATGTGTCTTCTGTTTGTATATATGTAATGTTGATAATAATAAAATAGTGGTAAATCTGAAAAAAATCTTTGTAGGAGTGTAACAAATTCACAAAATTCATAATTTGGTTCAATACAAAACAGAGGCGTCTCAAATTGATACATTTTTCCAAAAAAGCAAAAAACAAAGTCTCTGAAAATATGTCTAATGTTAATATAACAGATGGGAGACTACAGTAACCCACTGCCTGTCATGGGTTATTATTTTAAAAGCCATAGGTCAAACACAAGGCCAATGGGCCGAGTCAGGTCCGTGGCACAATTCTATTTGGCCCACGAAATTATTTTAATTTTCTATTATTATTAGCCTGTTTCACCTTGAGATGCACTATAGTCCTCATCTTACATTGCAACATAATATGCGCTCCGACCCCCTTCACCCAACAACAATCTGTGGGTGAGTGGTTACACAAAAAGAAAAGATGCCTGGTGTCTATCTACCTAAAACAATTTACTTAGAATTACTTTAGAATAAGTATTCAGTGCTAATTCTGCTGTTGCAGTTTTGGCATATTTTGAATAAACAATAGCCAGTTTAGGTCATGGCAAAATGTTAAGTACAAAGGAAGAAAACACAGCTGGCCCTGGACATTTTTTAATATGGCTCTTTTAGTGGTTGACACCGCTGCTAGAAAAGCAAAGCATTGCTTTGAAAGATTGCCAAATGTACATCATAAAATCTGCCCAATCAGCAACTTCTTCTGCATATGGCTTCTGGTTACATATTTTGGTTCTGTGGCAAATATGTCAGAACCCCAAACAAACCAGAACTCAGATGCAACCATGTATCATTCTCTGCTTTATGGCCATGTGAACCGATCTATAGATACAAACGCAATCTAAGAGTGTTATCTAGATCACTGGGCTTAAATGTAGTTTCATGACAATATCTGTCAGCACCAATCCCGCAGCACCAATTCTTAGGAGAGATTTCTTTCTTGTGAGAAAAAACGTTGAGCTTTCAGAGGCAAAAACCTGTTGATTTCTTGACACCTAATAAAAGACCATTCAAATCCTCAGTTCCTTTGCCCTTTACTCCAACACCTTCCAGTGCTTTTATTTTTTATAATATATTTTACATTGTCTGTCTATAACAGCTGTTTTATGTACTTTCTTAGTGTCTTACTGCGTGACTGTTTTCTGTTCTTTGGTTCGTGTTTTTTTGGTATAGTTTTAATTGTGTCTTGTGCTGAGGACACAAAACAAGTTTGCTGGTATCGCAATAAACAAACAGATTTAGTTCTCAGGTACCTGTGTGTAGTAGTCCTTGACCAGAGGCAGGGAGCACAGAGGGTTTTCGGCAGTCTCGGATGGCTCATAGTCAGGCCGTACTGTACGAACAGCCTTCAGCACCATGTCTCTTTCATCCTGTCTGAACACGCACTGCCTAAACACATCATCCACACTCAGGCCGTCCTCCTCCATCTGCTGCAGACACCTGGACAGGCACAAAGAGGGAAGGTGAACAGAGGTTCTGCTGAGAAGCGAATGCTCCAGCTTGTAGAGTTCTCTAGCTGGAAGAAAACAAGAAATGGCAAAACGCTATGTCTAAAATCCAGTTTATACAGTTTTAGAACGTTTTGAATGGCAGTTTGATCGGTGTGAACTAAGAACTAGGCTATTTAATTTCAATAGTTTTAAGGTACAGATCAAATTAATGTGGAGCAGAGATGGGCAGAGCTGGGATGTGTGACAATATACACAATATGCTCAGAAAATATTTAAATATTTGTCATTCAGTCATTGTTATCATTCAACAATCAGTTTCAAAGTTTTGGGACTGATATCGGTTGCAAAAAAAATTTGAACGATAGCCAGCCACAATGATTTAGATTGTTATTTCTTGGTGGTTGGACTTGTTAAGTTATAGGATGTCACTCAGAAATAGGCGTGGTTCTAAAATCTGAATGGCTAAGCCACATTGGATATATAGATATATATATATATATATATATATATATATATATATATATATATATATATATATATATATATATATATATATATATATATACACACACACACATACACACACATACATATCTATGGTTTGTCTTGTACACGCATTCCTCCCACTCAGAGTTTATTAAATATTATACGTTTAGTAAATCTTTCACGTCACTACCACCAGAATTCTCAGCTTGATGGGTGCAACAGGCCCCTGACCACAGCACTGCCTGATAAAGCATGCCGCTGACTGACTCCCAGATGGCTTGCGTACTGCTACACTAAAGGATAACCCTCAGCTAAAGGCTATCATTACCACAAGAGAACGGCTGTTCCTTATATTTATCCCTGTTCATTCCTTTCACAACAACCCAGACTAACATTAACTCTGCAACTGACTACAAAGCAGGATGTGAGGGTTTACTGAATGAAGCCTGGCTCAGGCATTCAGGTGAGGGGCTAACATTAACATATTTTGCACTGTTTGCATGTCGTGTTATCTAGCAGAAACAGCCTCATGGTAGGGGCGTTCTTTACTGCTGATACAACACTGTGTTTAAGAGCCAGTATTGGTGCAGATATTGATATGATATTGGTGGAATTCTTGTTACATGAAACCATCATTTCAACTATTGTTTGTGTTAACACTTGGTTTCAGTCCTGGCATTCCTGAAAACTGTTGTTTACAGCAGCAATGTTCTGAAACTCCTTTGTCTTGTCATGTTGGAGTGTGAACTGAGCTTAACAGCCAGCCAAGCTGGACCTTGTCTGAACTCCTTAAAGTACCAAGAGTAGCCTTAGCAAGCTTGCTTGAAATGTTCTTAAGCTCACACTGGTACGGCCTTGAGGGACAGCGAGCGAAACTGAACCATAAACATTTCATAAGCGTGTGCACCACCCTTTCCTCCTCTGACCTCCAGCTTAGCAGATTTAGCCTAGCAGCAGCAACAGCAGCATGAAAGGAACAGGGTGGATTTCAACGCTCTTCATGATTCTTTGCGACAGCCTCGGAACTCTTGCTCACGCGTTCCTTCGAAAGCTTGATGTCTTGAATGCAAAAACCTCCTTAATGAGAAAACTCTCAAGGTCAGGCAACCTGGCTTGGCAGCACTGACTGTGGGGCTCGTGGGGACAAAATATCAAATATTCACTTTGACACCGAGAGTACAGGACGGAACATTCACTCACGTTGAACATCAGATAGGCCTCAGCCATATGGCCAAGGAAAAACACAGGAGTGATGTTATTCAAATGAAAAGCACCTGAAGGCTCTGGACCGCTCAATGCGGAGAAGTAACGCTGCGTTCTGACCGCAGGCAGAATACTGATAAGGAGCACAAGGGATTCCGTCAAGTGTATTCACAGTCCACTCACAGATGACAATAGAGAAGACTGGAGAATCAAGTCATTTTCAAGATACATCTTATGTCTTACTCAGGAAAACCGCTCAAGCTGTGGGTGGAGGGGATAGTCCTATTGCTTCACTCTAGCGGCATAAAAAAGGGCTGATGCATTGCAGTGCATTGATCTGAAAGCAGCATTGACTGTGGAATGTTAGAATGGATTTGAATTGGTCTTAATAATCCTGAATGAACGGAACAATTCAGTAACACTATACTGAAGGGAAGTGTTCAGACGGCTTCACAACTACATAAATCTTCATGACAACTGACATTTATAGAGGCTTAGTGCACAAAGCGTTAATTACTAAGGTAAAACGACAACAAAATTGACAAAAGCAGACTTTATGAACACAGTTGATAAATGTGTATATGGAACGTTCTACCAAACTTGTCCAAAGTAAGATTACAAAACACATTTCGGACTTTTAACCGAGTCAGATTTTAAAATCGTTTTGCTTTGAGGGACGTTACACTTAAATTATGGTTATGTTATTAAAATAAGAACATGAACATTCCATTTTGTCAATCATAAATCAAAACATTTTTCATTAAAACAAAAAAGTTTACAGAATTGTAGAAAATGTTTCAGTAACAGAAATGCACAGACAGCATTTTTGTTGCTGTATTTTATTCTATTAACTTTTTAACTGCTCTGACAAAATGCAATGTTGACTCTACACTCTCTATTTCAGAGCTTACAAATAGTGTAACTGTAGCTTAAGTTGGCTATAAAATGGTATAAATGTGGACCTTGTACAAAGACAAATAATGCAACTTTTTTTACATATTTGAAGGAATAGTTTAGTGAAAAAAAATCAAATATACACAATTTTCCACTTAGCCCAGATGCTGTCGATCAGGAAAGACATGTTTGCTGTCCAAATTTTGCTACTTTAGTTTAAACGTGGAGCTATGAGCCTAACATTGCTAACAAACACTAGAAGTTAATACGCCCCCAAAACTGCAGCCAGATCTTCATTAAGGTCATGCAGATTTGATGATGTTGTTTGGAGAACACCACAACTTACCGAGCTATAAAATGAACGAACATCTCAGTGTCAAGCTGAACACTGCAGATATGCACACATGCAGGCATGATTACATTTGTGATTTTCTGTTATTTCTATTTACAAATAAGTGTTAATCTCAAATAATCAAACTGAAGATACATGTGTATAAATAGAAAGAACCGAAATCGCAAAAGTAGTCTAGTGTTCGTACGCTTGCTTGGTGTATTTGCACACAAAGGGGAGTCACACTCAGGTAAGTTGGAATTTGGGACAACACCTGTTGTCTACAATTGCTGCCCATAGTGTTCAGCAACACAGTGAAGTTTTGTTCATTTCACATTAAATCACATTGTGTCCTACAGTATGGTAGCTGGATGTGGTTTGAGAAAGGTCTTGGGGATGTATTAATGGAAAAGATTTAGGTGACTATTGACTTTTAGTGTTTATTATAAATAAATGTAGCTCATACACTAAAGTAAAGAAGCTACATTCGGACACCAAACATGTCGTGGCTGATTTGCCGCATCTGGGGAAGTGTAATTTTTTTGTTTTTTTCCCCACAGAACCATTACCATAAGGTACTTTAAGGTAATTAGACCTTGCATGACCACTGAGTACCCTTGAGTTCCTTGAACCTTGGAGGACATAAATGGACCTGTAATGCAAATATATAGCCTGTTAGCAATGTATGATGAGCAGACCTAGCTAGTGGATGCAACTGGCCAGGACTAAATTGAGAAGAAAATTTAAAAATAAAAAATCTCAGCTACTTTCAAACAAAAAAGTTTATTGTCTGTATCTATTAAACTTCAACATAAACAGTTCCTCTAGTCACATTTTTGCGATTAAAATCTAAATTGAATCGATTTTCAGGACGAAGACTTAATCCGTTATTTCACTGCAAGGTTTAGTACTGATTTAGTACTGAGAGTCAAAAAAGCTGAAGCACTGTGAGGCATGTCTGTCAGCAATGTGTTGCTGTGTTTCCAGAGCAACAGGCTTCTGCTGGACCAGACAGATGGTGGCTTCACAGCGCCCTCTTGTGCGCCTCACTGGAACAGACTGATATACAGAGACAGGGAGGGGCACCGAAAAAGAAGGGCATTCCTCCATCTTCCGACCTGTCTGCCAGTGACTCAGTAAGATTCACACTGCTGACTTCTGCGGCTTTCATACAGGAGGATGATATCATTCAAATTAAGTTGGGAACCTTGGAAAGCTCCATTTTTCTTCTTGAAGCTTAATCACTGTGAGGAAATACTTTTATTTAGCCACTTTAACCTAGACCTGTCACCAGGACAAGACTCCCATTCTTTACTCAAACATATTAGATTCTCACCCTATATATTGGATTCATAGTAGTTACTGGATAATAAGCCTTAAGATTAAAGGAACATGCCTGTATTTTCAATCTAATCTCTGACTGAGGCATCTGTTAATTATCACAGACAATTTTAATCATTTCTCTTAGCAATCACATGGGAGCAAACAGAATCCTAGCGTGCAAAGTTAAAGCTTAGTCTTTGTCAAATAAACAACATAAAGCTCAGTTCAGTAAAAGTTGCGTTATATTGCCCTTCTTTAATTTGGCCACTTGGAATACGGTTAAGTGTAATTATCTAGCGATAAACAACAGAAATATGAATGTCACATTAACTTTACTGTCCAATGCTGTGGTGTCTGTCGCTGCTTAGATTAGCCTGCTTAACTTCCAGAAAGTGAACCCGTTTTGTCTGATATCTTGCTGTGAGTCAACAAATCAACAATTTTTTTTTCTTAAACTGATGCTAAGTGAGTTTTTGTGATATGTCAAGGTCCTCACTACACAAAAAGCACTGCGACTGGTTAGAAAGCATATCTGCATATTGCAGCATTCTTCAAGATCAGTTCAGCAAAGTCCAATGCTGTAACAAACAATATATCTTTCTGCCCTTACAAAAAGCTGAGAGTTGACTGGGTTAAATGAGGCAGAATGCCTAAAATAGAGCAGCACCCGGTAACTAAAACCTTGAAGAGCTACTACAAGTCCCTGCCCCAATGTCTCTGGAGCATTAAATGTGTCATCTTTGTTTGGAAAATGACTGACACACACTGTCTCCATCTGCTGTGACGCACAGAGGAGACTGGGAGGTGTTGTCTTTGTGTGGCCGCGATGAACGGAGAGGATGACACATGACGGATAGCAGACTGGCAGTGCAGAATGTGAAGCAAGGAGGAGTATGAAAAGCAAAAAAAATGGGAAAGTAGGGGAGGGAGGGGAGAGAGACAGTTGGAGATGAAAAGAGGGGAAAAAAGTCTGGGAAGTGAGTACATAGAGAGAGAGAGATTGTTTGGAATAGGAATGGAGCCGCAGGAGAACAATGTCATAGCTATTGCCTTACAGCGATTGATCGGCAAACCAGCTTCCCTCCACCCAGGCCTGAACGCTAGCAGTCACCTTCAACATCTACTGCACACTATGCCATCAGGTGGTCTGTTGACAAAGACAAGCTACCACACACAAGCTGATCTTACTTACAAACCGTTCCAGGACAACAATCCCTAAAGTAACCACAAGCAGCAATTCTTCCCTCCATGAAATATTACTTTGTAATTCTAACCCCTTCAACTGTTCGCTTATTACTCAGCTATTAATCTTAAAGGCCAATTGAAACCATGATTTCTTTCTAATTAGGTTAACCCTACTCGTATGGATAGAAAATATACATGTGCACAGTTTACCCTACGAATAACTTTCCTACATCAGATGTATTCCACAAGATTTTCTCCCCTTCACCTTCACCAATCACAAGGTTAATGTCACTTGTCCTACCCATAAAAAATGTGCTCTCTCCATCAAACTCAGAGAAACTTAACAAGTGAAAGCTAACAACCAAGCGAAAGCTAACCAAGAATGCACAAGTGAGCTATCAAGCTAGCTCATCAGTCTGTCTGCACGTCTGTCGTCTGTTTGCTCATCTGTTCATTTGTCATTTTGTCTTTTTGTCCAAATGCCCAGCCTTCCCTGGGATGTGCACCTGGTGTTAGAGTGAATAAAAAGTTTACCTGTTGTCAACACAGTGGGGTCGACAACACCACCTGCATATGCAGTGCTCATTTCACTAATTCCTCTCCCCTCACACAACAGTGCGTAGCTCTGTATGGCACACTGGGAACTTTGGACTCACCTACAGGTTGTTTCATTTTAAGGGTCTAAAGAAATGAGCCCATATGTCTGAAGCTTCTCAGAGTGTTGACACAGGTTCACTATGGCATGAAAGATAAAACCAGATCCTATACTTTGCAAAAAAAAAAAATCACAGACTACACACAATTCACACACAATTTAAACAGTCAAGACTTTGCTTCTTAACTATTACAGGCTAATATAATTAACATGTGATGAAAAGTTATGACCACCATTTAGCAACAGACATGCAGGTTAAAATCATTACGCACATCCCTCAAATCACACTGAGTGAATGACTGCCCTTAGACACGCTTACTTGATGTTGTTTCTGACACTGTTACACAATGGACAAAAGTACATCACATAGACAAAAACACAAAGTAATTCAAAAAACAAAGTTCATGCTGTACATTCCATTACGCTACTAAAACTAGCAGCACATTTTAGCTAGTACACCATTATTCTCACTATATAAAGTCATCTGTGTGGTGTTAGTTTTCTTCTTGCAGCATTTTTATAGCTTTCATATAGTTTTCAACTAGCTGTCATTGCTTTTCTGTATCTATCCATCTGTTTCTATATGTTTCTTTACTAAATATTTAACTTTTAAATCTGCTGTGTGTACATCAAGTTTTGAACGTTTAGCGTTAAAAAAGTTTTACTGTTAAAAAGCCATTACGGTTTTTAAAGCAGCGTTCATCGAGGGTTACATCTGGATTTGGATCCCAGAGGTAGCTGAACTCTGTCTAAAATTAGGGGCTTTAAAGGAAGAGAAAATTAATTTAGCTGCTGTTACTACAATGCTGGCAGGATAAAGGAGAATAAATGGTGGCACAAGCAGCTGTGTAAACAGCTGGTAGCGTTAGTTTGCTGGTGTTTGTTTGTTGTCATGGCTCAGATGCTCAGACAGCATTTCAACGTCAAATAAACCATCTTGTGCTTCACATCCTTTTGCATTATTCAGTAACACCAACAGTTTAAAATAAAATTGTTTGATATGATCACTGATGTGTTTCACAAATCTTGTTCCACAAAGTTGAATTAGGTGAAGTCAGGTCTTTGTCATTCTTCAATATAACTTGTATACATTGTGTACACAGGGTGCAACTGTTGCAGCTAAGTTTTGAGTGAGTTGCAGGGGGCTTTATATTATGCAACTCAAGCGCAATTTAGTTTTACGCAGGTTTCAAGCAACTAAAGTTGCATGGAAGTTTCACTGCATAAGGCCAGCCATAAGAAGTTTGATGTATATTGTGCCACCCTGGGTAATGCGAGCTAAGAGTAATGGCTTTAGCAGAACCTTATTCTGTCCAGGAAAATCCTCTCTTAATGCAATAGTGGTGTGGGAATTTTGTGACTACCTTTGCTTGGGCTGCAGAGTATAAAATAAACCACAGCCCAAACCTGAGCCAAAGCCAACACTCCTCCGATCCATAACAACAATTGGCATTTCTATTTTTGGGCATTGTGAGAGCTCACTCAGGATAATATGTTTGGCACTTGCATCCGAGTGGATCAGCTCTTGGATAAATGTGCTAGCACATCAACCAATGGCAGAAAGATGCTTAAACGCCAAGTCAGTGTGATTTTTAGTTCCAACAGATCGATTTAATGTGGAGGGACATCAGTTTTATTTTGGTCCAGACTACAGTTCTTTCCAACATTCTAGAACTCTGTACAGAGAAACACTGACCCCCAGAGGCCAGAACCAGCACTACAAAACCTTCATAAATATTTTATATACCATTCAGAAGTTAGGAATCACTTATTAATACAATACTATTACAATGTGATTGAACTTTTATCAACTACATATGTTATTTAATCTATCAAGTAAAATACTTTATTAAATTACTATTTACTGAAAATTACACAGTGCTGTGAAAAAGTATTTATCCCATTCCCACTTTCTCCTGTTATGCATATTTTTCACATTTGAATGTTTCAGATCATCAAACTATTTTTAGTATTAACCAAAGATAAAACAGGCATAACCCCAAAGACTTGCGGGATAATATTCTATAGACTGACGAGTCAAAGGTGGAACTTTTTGGAAGACATGGGTCCCATCACATCTGGCGTAAAGCTACCACCGCATTTCACCGTTAGAACATCATACCAACAGTCAAACATGGTGGTGGTATTGTTACGGTCTGAGGCTGCTTTGCTTCTAGAAAACAGGACCTGGATGACCTGTCATAATTGATGGAACCATGAATTCTGCTCTCTATCAGAAAATCCTGAAGGAGAATGTCCGCCCGTCAGTTCATGACCTAAAGTTCAAGCACAGTTGGGTGATACAGCAGATGCTTTACTTTAAAAGGTATTTATACGTTTTAGAATTTTGGTGTTTGTTTTTCGTTACAGTTTTCTACTAATTACTTGAAAGTTGCACAGGTCTAGCATATTGAGCTCATTTTAAATATCTAACTCAATTTTGTTTTATATTGTTGAAAACATCAAACAAACACATTTGAACAGTGATTTCAAACTTCTGAACAGAATAGACAATTCATAATCTAGCCTTTTTTTATATATTGACTTTTGTTGTTAAATCATATTGTGATAAAACATTTACAAACCCAGCTTTATTACTACAAAACAGTCTACCTCTGCATGCTTAAAAGAACCTTCTGGGCTAAACTGTGCTTGATCCTAAGAATTAGAATAGGCTTTGATGTGTGATTCATCAGTCACTATAATACCACTGTTACTGCTTAATCTGTATCAAAAGCAGATCACAGAAAGAACTCTTACTGAGGATAATATTCAGAAACAAACTAAACTCTTATCTAGTGTCATTAATAAATAAATAAAAATGCAACACAGCAAAAAACAGCAGTTTAGTGAGTAAGTTTGATTATGTTTACCTGCTAATGACCCGTGAAGAGCTTTCTGGGTTACGGCCCATGCACTCCAGGGCAGCGCAGTAGGAGGCCACGCTGGGCTTCAGTCCTGCTTCCTCCACTAGAAAGAACAACTGACGTATGTGATGAAGAGATCCCTATAACACAGACAAGAAGCAAGGTTACACACATAACTACAGTCAGGTTGGGCTATTCAAATACAGATATCCAGAATTTGGTCTTAGTTTGTAATTATTAGTAAAGCCACAGTCGCACTAGAAAACTGTAGTTTGTGTTGCCTTGCAAAATGGGTGTGGCCAAAGCCAGACCAGTAAATTAACCAATACATACTGGTGGGATTAGCAAGCAGCTAATTCACTAAACCATAAAAACACAAAAGTAAACTTTATTAGACCAGATTATACATTATTTCGCCCAAGACATTTCACTGGAACTTAATGTTGCTATTACTATTACTAATATTAGAAGCAGTAATAATTACAGTATTATCACTGTTTGTATTATCATTAGTATCAGTACAGCTATAGGCCTGGGCGATATCAAAAAATAATTAGCACATTAAGAATTTGTAATTATCAATCATATCGAACCCCCATCTGCCCCACCTTTCAACCACTACAGATGGTCTGCTACAGCCTAGGCCTACTTTCTGTAAATCTATGAGTTCTAGAAGGTTATAAATCAACAGCTGTTTAAAACAAAAAAAAATAATCTTAAAAAAACAAATCTTAAAAAAAAAAAAATCAAAATATATATATAAAATATAAATAATATAACACGGAGTAACACAACATCTATTGAAAACTACTTAACCTGTTGTTTTAGTTGTTTTTTGCAGATGTGCGCTTATGAGCTTCTTCTGGTGTAGATTCATGGCAACTTTTGTGCTAATAGCACAGCTTACTGGAGGACCTTCAACACTCTATAAACCCCACATGCTTTATATATTTAAAAAATAAATGGTGCCTTCCTTTCTGATAGCGGATGCCCACTGTAAATCAGCAGTAGATGCCTTTGGAAAATCACACTGCGTTATATTTCCACAGTTTTCGTAATTTAACTGATACACTTATCACACTCTGAGAGACCTGCAGCAGAGACAGTGGGGAATGTACTCTTTTGTAGCCTAACGGCTCTTTTAAGGACCCATAACAAACCTTTTTTTTTTTTTCACTGTGAAAGTGAAAAAAACATGTAAATATTATTTAATGTTGGTGTTCAAAGCTGTTCAAAGGTAAATTAGCCCTCTATAGTTTTTTATTGCCCTTCAGGCATAGCCATCGGACTACTTGTCAATCATTGACAAGATCCGACTACACTGCCCTATCGCCCAGGCCAAGTGTTTGACAGTATCATCAATTTCTTTAATTAGAAATATGTAGTCTGGAAAATAGAAATAAGTTGTGTACTGTCCTTCAGTTTAAATTCACAAGTTTTCGACTAACAGCTGATATTGTGTCCTGTGTTAAATAAATGGTGACATCTAAGCAGAGCTATGTATGTAGGCTAAATATTTTAACCAAAAAGATGATAGATTCAAGTTTGTGTGACCCAAAGTTATCATTCTTTAAAACACATACACCTAAAACACAAAGAAAAATTACAATATTAACTGAATAATCAGGTACGGACCACCTTTTAAGCTAACTGTTTTTGTTTTTAACGTACAACAATGCAGATGTAATAATACTGTTTCAGAAATGCAGGTATTTTAATATCAGAAATAATCAGAGCGTCCAATCTGAGGCAGGCTACTGCTAAAAGCAGCATACCATGAATTCTAAGTGCATTCTCAAAGGCACAGACTCACCTTCTTGGCCCACATTCTCATCATGATGTTGTAGGAGTTGACAGTGAGCGTCTTGCGTTTGGAGAGGTTTTGATGGTGGAAGAGCAGGTAGCGCTGGGCTCGCTCCACATCCCCCGTAAACACACACGCCTCCAAGTGGCAGCACACGTTCAGCTGGGTATCAGCATCACGATTCACCTCCTTAACTTCTATAACCTTCTCGGTCCCAGTTGAGCTCCACTGTTTGATCATCTGCTCGAGCTCTTCAACCTCAGTCAACTCCACATCCCTAGAAAGTTCTTGAGGGACAGGAGTGGCTTCACTGGTAGGACTTTCAGAGACTTTTGGCTTAGAGTGAGACACAGGGGAGGCTGCTGGTTTTGCATGCTCTTGTTTGGTTACTGTTTTGCTCCTTTTGGCTGCTGAAATGGACTTCATAGATGAGCCTGGAAGCATCATGCTGCCCTTGCTGCTTTTCGCTGCTTGCTGCTTTTTGTTGCTTTTTCCCTTGCTGCTTTTCGCTGCTTTGTCAGAGACGTTCTGCTGAAGAGGTGATTGTTTTAAAGTGCTATTCCACTTCTCACGCTTAAGCTTCTCAAACCAGCGGCTTGTGTGAGTTTTGGAGGATGGATTGTCCGTAGTAGCTCCTGTTTTACTGGACTGTCCAGCTTTTGGAAGTTCTGTCTTCTCTCCCGGTCGCGTCTTCTGACTCTTGCTGAGTGAAGGTCCTTTTTCTCTCTGCGGCATTTTGAGAAATTCCACCTTTGAATGTTTCACTTCAAAAAGGACATCGGACTGTAACTGTTGCATCCGAGCTTCAAGAACTATAAATAAAAAAAGACAAAGTTGTTTGAAAGACGCACAACAACAGCACTATATCCCAAAAAGGCCTAAATAATGAAAATACTTGTAATGCATTAATATTAAATTTGACGAGCAAAACTGGCTGATGCCAATCATTGCTCCTTTACTTGGGCTTAAGAAGCAAGAGAAAATATGAATATCAAGCAAAAGCCTCCAAAATAAAACCAAAGTGCACTTACAAGGTACACATGAATTCCATGGATAGAACTACACACCTTCATTATGTAGTAATAAATGTGTGTATATCTTATGCTATAAATAAACAATCTGAACATTCGATTTAATATAAGACCAAGAAGGCTGAGAATAATACCATCTAATAAATGCGACTGTTCCCACATTCGTTTGTTTCCATCATCTTTCTTTGGGATAGCGGAGTACTGTCTTCTATGTGATGTCCATGGGTTGTCTGAGAAAAACAAAGAGAATGTAAGGAAACTAAGGATGACCAAAAGTTGGAAAAACTTTTTATATCAGGATTGTTCCACTCTTTATATTCAATGCACTAAATGAAGCTTTATCTAACTCATCACTGCGAAATAGTTTCTGGTGTAAGAATAGCAAATGAAAGTGTTAAGAGGATATGTTTACCAATTTTCTAAATTGGGGCCACATAAATAGGCAATTGTGGAAATATAAAAAGGGTGGTCTGTCCTAAAATTTCTGAATTCTCTGCACTGTCTGAAAATCAGAACATGCGGGATATTTATATACTGAGGGATTTGCTTGAAACTTTCATTAATAAACACTTGCAATTCATGCTTATTTACTGAACATACTTTATTTATTTATTTATTTATTTATTTTATTAGGAACATAAAACTTTTAATAGCCAAGACACATGCAGTCAGCCATAAAATGGCATGGCATCTAATGTCTACACTTCATATTATTATTATTTTTTAAATTTCTCAAATTTGAGAGAGATTTAGCCATCTGTGAACCTGCATCTGTGTCCACTTCTCTCTCTTTCTGGATGAACACAGGAACCAAACCCATGTCGTCTACTGAATGGAACCCAAGCAGCTAGGGGTGGGCAAGTTGGCAAAAATATAATATCACAATACTTCAAGACATTTTCACGATATGCGATATGCATCATAAAATTAAATTTTTCTGGGATTTTGAACAGAGAACACATAACCTGTAGTGCCACATGTAAAAAACATACATACATACTACTACTACTACTACTACTAATAATAATAATAATAATAAACCAACAACTATAATTATTTTTATTCACTGTTTTACAAACTGCACTCCACTAAATTCAAATAAACAAGCCTAATTCTGCTCACTCTGTTATAAAATATGTAGTCAGTGATCTTTAAATACCTGCGATATCCACAATATGTTCAGAAAACCGTACGGTGACATAATTAATCACGATAATGATAAAACATTGTCGTATGACCCACCCCTACAAGCCGCTTTCTTTGATGAGACCATGGACAGAGGCTTCACTATGGGGGGGATAGTAGAAAATCAACACATACATCTTTAAAAGTTAAACACCTGCTCATCAAACGTTTCTTCAAAAATCAAGAGTACAGAGAATTTGGCCTCATTTGCTGCAGTAACAGCCTCTACTCCTCTGGGAAGGCTTTACACTACACATGTTGTTAGATTGCTGGGAGGATTTGATTGCATTCAAAGAGAAGAGCATTAGTGAGGTCAGGTACTGACGTTGGATGTTTAAGTTCTGGATTTCTCCATCTCATCCCATATTGGATGGAGCTCCATCACTCCACAGAATGCAGTTTCACTGCTCCACAGCCCAATACTGAGGGGCTTTATACCCCTCTAGCTGATACTTAGCTAATGCTTGACATGGTGACATTGTGGGCTGGTGATTCTACTTACAACGCTTTTCTACGGGGATTATACAAGCTATCTGTGCGCAACTTAACGCCTGTGTCAGCAATGGCTGCATCTACCCAAGTTCACTAATTAAAAGGTGGGTCTGGACACTTTGGGGCACAAAGTTTACCTCATATTTATGTCCTAACAGACCTACACCTCACATTAGGACTATCTCACTGAGTAATAAATGCGTTGAATAAAAGACGAAGTTCATGTTAGCTTCTTTCTCTAATTTTCCGTTCCACCTTAAATGGTGCAGGAGTTACATTCTGGCGAAAGAGGCGCCAGAACGTCAGCGCTGCATCGTTTAAGGTGGAACGGGGACTTCGAATAAGACAGAACCTCAACATCGTGAATAAAACTGTATATAGTAAATAGCTAAGTTACCATACTGATACAAATATAGGTTAGCTAGGTTACCGTTTTGTTTTCCCAGATATCTGAACCATGTAACCTATCAGAGATGTAAACAGCAGCAAGTTAGCAGACCAACGCGCCCAGCCATAACAACTAAACAGGGCACTGTGTCATTTGAAGACTATTCTGAGTTATTTTGTGCTGCATTAATCGTTATAAGTTTTATTAACAGCTCGTCATTGCCCGTTGTGAAGGACAACATGAGGCGACGCTGCTGAGTCTCCACAAGCTAGAAGTTAACGTTACCTCGTATTCCTCTTTCGTAATTACTCCTGTTCCTGAGGCAGAGAAGACAATGCTCGACATTCAGTAGGTGGCGGACGTTTCTCTCGGACACGAGTCTACCGGCCAGACATTTCGGAAAGGTACAGAGTCTTAAAAGAGACATTTTGCCAGACCGTTAAAGTTCAACAACAACCGCATTCTCTCTCTCAGTAGGCGGCCATTGCACCTCAGACTTGACTAGTCGACTTCGACTGGCGACAGTTGAAGTGTAGGGTTGCTAGTGGATCACAGATATATCGAGTTACGGTTATATGAAGTGTGTCGTTGTAAGAAATGTCGGTTGGTAGCATCTTGTTACTTTTATATACAGATAAACTGGACTTCAGAGCCCCTTTATGCTCTTTATGTATTTTATAATTCTAGATGTTAGCAAAAAAGAGAGGCTAGCCAGTCCCATAAGCTGCCTGTAGGGGTCAGTATTCCTCAATATACATTTGTTTCTGTAAAAGAACGGAGAGGTCAACATCTCTGTGGCTAGTTATAGCAGAGAATTTGCACAGAAGAGAATAGACCAGAGAAATTGTAGAGAGGAGAAATAAACGTATTTAAGTCCAAATTGAATTAGTTAATATGGAGCATTTGAGCACTTGAAAATCATAGTTCATAAATGCTTAAACATTTTAAATATATATAAAAAAAAACATACATTTTATGAACAAAGAACAGCATAAAACATTTTAACAACGCCAATGAGCTGCTCCACTCACCAACAAATCAGCACTCAGTAGCAGTAATGCTAGCTAGCATCCTGCTGCCCAAACCCCATTTGCTGTAGAACAAAGGAGACATACAGGTACATTTTCTTTGCTTTTTGGTGAAATACCAACTTCTACTTTCTAAAATTAAAAGAAAGTTCTAGGCAAGCGATTAGAAACTAATTTAACTTTTCGTTTTTAGCCATTTAGCTCATTCGCCCCCATTCACTGAGGACTCTCTCGCGGGCGCCCTCTGGCATTTTGCAGTCATTTTTTTGATATAACAGGAGAAATAGGAAGAGTCCACATTCCTCAAAAACTGGCTCAGAATAGACACTTTTTCACAAGAAACGGAAGTGTGTAAACTGGGTAAAACAAGTTTCGCTATTGCTTTATGGAGAGTTATTAATCTCAAAAATACAGGCATTTGTCTCACTTCAGCTCAGCTCAAAGGTGTGTCACTTTATTCTTGTCATAGTTGTCAAAATTGAAGTTCAAGGATGTATCCAGAATCGTTGGAAAACTAAACAAACAACAACGTGGGAGTCCTAATTAAATAAAGGATATAAATGCTTTGTGGAAAAATCCCTTCACAGCTCTCAGGGTACAGTAATGTCAGCTCACATTTACAGAGATAAATTGATGGATGGTGAAAATAACTCTAACCAAAACGCCAGATTAGCCATGTTAGCTGGAGATGTTGAAACAGCTTACTAACAATAAGCTAGTTGGCAAAAAGCTTAACATGCACACATCCCGGCAGGGGGGCGTGCCTGGGTCATCACGGTCCATAGCGCCACTGTAGACTATTCCACAAACACTGGCTCCAGTATGACAAAGTTTTTTTCCTTTATTAATTGCACAAACTCGTTTTTCCTCTGCTCATCATCAGCTGACCAACCGCTGAAACTGAGAAAAGGCTGTTTTTGCTTCAGGCTCAAACACTTGAGTTAGCTGTCTACTCATCATTGTTAGTATTGTTATTGCTCTAGCGGAAGCAGCGTTACACCGCACTACACTGAAAAGCTTCCTCCGAGTCATGTGGAGCACCGCCACATCTTTTAGAACTGCCGCTAACGTGACGTCACTGGACAGCTGAACATGCTTGGAGGAGAACGCTAACCGGTTATCTGTTACATCAGCTAACAGACGCCTGCACTGGCTAACATTGCGCTGAGTGATGGGGGAGAGGAAGGGCCATCCTACCCACCCACCCAATTGTGGTCTTTTGGACTCCCAGCCACGGATTTTAGATGGATTTATACTGCTTAGATTTCCAAACACTTTATATTAAAGTAGGCGATATACTGTGAAGCGGGTAATCATTTTTACTCAGTTCCACTTTAGCCATTTACATTGTGTTAATTTGCTTTTGGATTTTAATTTCATTTTGTTCTGTTGGTTCATCATCTGAAACTGCTTTGATATTTCTCATGTCTCTCATTTTCAAGCTTTGGCATTTTTTTTAGACTAAAGGTATCACAAAAAGAGAAAAACAGTAACTAAACAAGTTCAGTTCCTATGCTGATACCTCCTGAATGTACTCAAAGGCTCCATTGCAGTTGTGTAAAGAGCTCAGTACTCGAGTAGTATTTCTGACCTGCTATTTTTGTACCCCTTACTCATGTAGATATATTTTTTTTTGCTAGATACCTTTTACTTCTCCTTCAAGCATGATTTAATTGAGGTAGCAGTGCTTTTACATGTGTGTGGGTTTTGGCTGCTCTGTGATCAGCCATGGTCATGGGTCACCATTTGAGAAATATAAGTCTTTTTAAATGTGTGTGGATGAATATTTACTACACAGTTGTAGCAACAGTCCTGCCTTCTTTGAGTAGGTGATCATAGATAACAGGGCTCGTTTCATACAGCAAAGGTTTGAGCATTTCTTGAAGTGATTTGCGGCCTACGTTCAACCCGCTTAAAGGTGGCCCACGTAAGGCTGTAGGATTGCCACATCTGTTTCAGTGATCATGAAATGTGAAATGGTTATTTGCAACAAAACTAGACTGAATTTCTGTGTGACAATTAAAAATATCAATAATAAGTTTTGTTAGATACACTTTTTTTCTATATTCTAGTATATAAAATAGGTTATTATGCAATTACTCAGTAAATTTAAAAAGGATTCCACTGCTTTTTCAAAATTTTTGCATAAACAAAGACATTTGGTTTGGTTTGTTATGTAGTAATTCATTGCATAGAAATTTGGCAGCTCAGACTTCTTTGCAGTGATTTACAACACAGATATAGCCATTCAAGTTTTTTTATGTAACTTTGAAAATGGCAAAATTATTGTAAATCTTAAAAATTATGTTTTTGGGTACAATTTTGCCCTGTATGTACTTCTGTATCATTAATATATTTAAAAATGCTTACTTTTTAGGCCAAAAACCTTCTATCAAAACCATAAAAAATTGTTTTAAAAGCATCACAAAAAGAAGAAAATACTTACCTTTACTATTTCATTTGAAAGCTTTCTGTGGGGAACATTTCAAAGGTGTTAAACATTCAGATTTACACAGAAATTTACTTACTAAGAATTGTTCACAATTATGGTGATAGGAACCAGGGTTGCGATGTCTACACATAAGTATAGTAATTTTTTTTAGCACTGTCCAGCATGACCAGTGAACCTTATGTGAGTTTTTATATTTAGCATTAGTAATAACTGAATAGTGGCAAATCTGAAAAACACCATTCTTTAAGAAACATTTTGCCTTGTATGTACCAGGTTTTGCCTCACATGTACCAGGTTTTGGCTTAAAAATACTTTTTAGGCCAAAACCTTATCTCAAAACTACTGTAAAACAATGTCTCATACATCAGCCAATGTTTCATGTCATAGCTTTCTGAAAAGTAGCTCTTAGAAGATTTGAACGCTTCGGACATCTGGTTCCCACCATTACCACTGTGAACAGTTCTGATTTCTCAGTTTCTCTGTAACAGAGAATTTCACATCAAACCTCTCTAAATGACTTTGTGTACATCTTAACAATTTAATTACACAAAATTTGAAAAATTGATGGAATTCCCCTTTAAAGGTGTGAGGGGGGTGTGATGTTATCGGCTTTTCAAAAATAGCTTTGCATGGTTCAGCAGTGTGTAGAAACAGCTCAACCTTGGTGTGAATTACATTCTTAACAGATAACCATTACAAACAAACCTCAGCCCTCATCAGTTCAGACAGACAATGATGGTGGTCACCACAGAGTTGTGTGTGTGTGGCTAAGATCGTAGGTGGGGATCAGAGAGTGTTTGCTGCCATGGTTCATGAGTTCAGCCCCCCTTACTGACTGGCCTGTTTGATGTTTTCTGGCCCTTGTCGGCGGCTGCCTCTTAGCACTGGTGTGACAGTCATTGCCGGGTGAGTGACTGTCAACAAAAGGGGAGAAGACAGCCATTCAGGCCCATGATAATAGCTCGGCCGAGGCAAGGCCGCCGTTCTCATGGACTTTGATCACAGGACCTGCATGCACACCTATGTGGGAGCTATTTATTTGTTTTGCAGATGGGCACTGCCTTTAAAACATTCGGTTGGACAGACGCGGCTTTGTGCAAAGCCGGTGTCAGAAAATGCTTTTGGCATCTGTGACCCTCGGGAAAGGTTAATGGAAAAAGGAGCTTGGCATACACACACTGTATTGGCTCTTCGCAGTGGCCTGAAGTCCCTCTGGACACCTCCGAAAGTATGTGCTGACCATAATTTGATGAATAGCACTTTTTTGTTTGTAATACATAATAAGCATGTTTGCAGTACATAATATTGGGCTATTTAAGATACAGTGTCATGAATCTCTGGCCCATGTTCGTGATTCCTCCAGGCAGTATAGACAGGTAGTATAGCTAAGGGCCCATCCTACACTTTCCTTGCATTTTTCTTATGTTTTGTGGAATTAAAACAGTAGTGTGGTTTTATGTAAGAAGACTTCCATAATTCATTTTTACATGCATTAACAGGCTCTATTTGTTACTGTGCCTTTCAGACTGATATAAGATAAATTAGCTCTGTTCTGATTGGCTGCCCTGTATCGTACCTCATTTGAAAAGCCCTTAGAGCTGAAACTCTCTTCAGAACTTCAGTATGAATGGGTAGGGCTATAAATGAGTTGGTTTTCATGACATCAGAGAATTTATGGATTCAAAACAGGCTGAAATTTGTTTTTTCACAATATGGGCCTCTTTAAATGGACACTCTGGCCTAAATGAAAAACATAACCATTGCTATAACTGTTGTAAACATACTTACTTGCATCCTTTAGTGGTGCTGCAGCAGCCTCTATTGTGAGACTTTCCAGTTTAAAGAATAGGAAATCTCCCTTCTGATGATGTATCTTGAAGGTGGAAGGATGCTTGAAATGCATTTAAAATTCTTTGAATACTGAAGTAAGGCTGTAGGCTAAATTACCGCCATGGCTCTACCTTTCTGTTGTGCAGCAAAGCAATATTACCTAGTCATTACTGACATAGATTACTA